AAACGGAAAAATTGATGAAATTTTCGTTTCCGTTCTGGAACTTCAGTTTGCCTCAACCAAATGTTATGAAACTTAGACACAATGCTTATTACCACAAAACGGTCTCAACTGTATGTGGAAGTTGACTCATGCATATCTAAAATCTTGAAAAAAAATAGACAAACACTCATCCTTAATGTTTAAAATTAATTATTTCCCAGTTAATCAAAGTGACAATTTATATACCTTCAGACATTTATTGACATGTACAATATATTTCAGATCACTTGAAGTAGTATTGGCAGTAATTTTAAAGTGATCATTTGATTAAGTATTTGAATGGGCTTGATAGTGCTTTCTTTTTTCGATATCTCACTTTTTGTAGTAGTCATTCAAAATTCGTAATTTGTCTAAATAAACATATCTTTAATAAATAAATATCACAAAATAATAAAGAAAAAACATACGGAAACAGAAGAGGGCAAGTGGCCGAAAATGGTTTATTTATTACAATAACAAACATAGACATAATTTGAAAGTCACAATAATGAAATGCTTACGTTTTTCCTTTTCTTTAGATTACTACGTATTCGTGAACATATACATGCAAACAAATAAATATTTTCCTCTCATTCTACGTTTAGAATTAACAATAGGAATGGAATTAAATGAGGTTTTTCTAAACATTTAATTATGTATACTTCTGTTAATATTTGAAATGTATGTTCTTATTATTTAGTTACTTTTTGTTGGGTTGCTTAATGATTGACATTTGCACTTCATTTGGTTTTATTTATACCAAATGAATACTCATTCATTTTACAATAACAATAACAATAGGTCTTGACAGATACAAGTTCTTAATTACTTCATTTAATTTAAGGATGAAAATGCAAAGGGATACTGAATTGCACATAACTATTACATCTTATTTACTTTTGTTTTAATGAGTTTGGACAGATGGGCATAAATCCTTCATTTGAAACAATTAAACTTGTTATAAAATATTGTAAGAGGAAATCTGTCACTGAAACCAATTAATCCACCTTAAAATTTGATGGTTCACACAATAAAATTCTAACCTTAGAGATTTGGTAAATTGTTTTAAATGGCTTTCTATAATCATTATCATGATAATCTATCATGTGTCTCTAGATTTCAATTAAATTCATGTTTTATTAAAGAAACAGGGGGGGGGGGGGGGGGACACACACATTGAATGAAAAGTGATATTACATGTTTCATATAACATAACAAAATAACAAAACATTTAACATAAATAGTTTAAGAAAGGTCGTAATGGAATTGTAGCAAACTTTGCACACTTTTAAATGACTTAAAAAGTTTGTAAATCAACAAAAAATACTCCGGCGTCATGGTCATTATTTTTCATAACAATTTTTTCAGTGGAATTTTGATAAAGTCGTGTATTTCTTCCTGAAAAGGTTCTGTTTCGTGAACATCGCTATGTGTGATTTCTCGAAATTTCTACATTTTCTGCTATTTATCCGTAGCAAGTTAACTTCTCCAGCTAAAATTTTACCGCTGGTAAATCATTTGTTATTTGTCTCACAATTGTTAAATTCATATAATGGCACTTATACATATAAGTTTTATAACATCAAGAATCAATTTCAAATTTGAAACCTTCGTTCAGTTTAATAAAGGAAATAAAATACGAAACATTCTTACACATTTTTCAAATATTCACAAATTGAACCTTATATACCCGTATATATAATGTTTTGGTGAAACACTTATATTTTCTTTCCTCCTTCATATTCAACTGACTTGCCGATTGCAGCCTGCAACCAACAGTCCGCTCCGGTATCACTTGGTCCAACTCTTTATTGGAATGATTGAAATCTAAACAAGCTTCTGTCCAAGTTTGGTACAAATCCAGGATAGTTTAAGAAAGTTATTAAAAGTTTGAAAACTTTAACCACAGAGTGAATGTAATGTTAACTGGCAGAAAAACTTAGTCCATTTATAAGTAAAATACGGATAAACAGGATTGTTTTTTTAACAAAATTAACTTTTGAATACTATCTTATGATCATTAACAAGCTTCTGTCCAAGTATGGTACAAATCCAGGATAGTTTAAGCAAGTTATTAAAATTTGAAAACTTTAACCACAGAGTGAATGTTATGTTAACTGGCAGAAAAACTAAGTCCAGTTAGGAGTTAAATACGGATAAACAGGATTTTTTTTTTTAAATTTACTTCTGGATACTATCTTATGATCATAAACAAGCTTCTGTCCAAGTTCATTAGAAATCCAGGATAGTTTAAGAAAGTTATTAAAATTTCAAAACTTTCGTGTGAATATGGTGTAAAATGTTAACAAACAGACTTCTTCTCTGGTAAGACGGGAAATAAAAGTTTAAAAAAGCGTCAAAGGTAAAAACATCAATTGACCTTATACACGTTGAATATAAAATTATCCTTAGAATTCTCTTTTTGAATATTCAAAAATGTGTAATAAAGCCATCTGTAGGGTGTAGGTAGGTGAAATTCTCACATAAAAACCGATCTAGAATTGATACTTTAAGTCAGAAGAGCATAAGTTATGGAACAAAATAACATTTGGTTGAGACAAATTGGAGTTAAAGAGAACGGAAATGAAAATTTCAGCATTTTTTCTATTTGTAAAGGAGTATAACTCTAGAACGGTAAAAGTGACGCCACCAAAATTAAAATTTGATCTGTGTTTTGTGGTAATAAGCATCGTTTGTTGATGTGGTTCATAAGTGTTTCTCGTTTCTTGTTTTTTATATAGATTAGACCGTTGGTTTTCCCGTTTGAATGGTTTTACACTAGTAATTTTTGGGGCCCTTTATAGCTTGCTGTTCGGTGTGAGCTAAGGCTCCATGTTGAAGACCGTACTTTGACCTATAATTGTTTACTTTTATAAATTTTTACTTGGATGGAGAGTTGTGTCATCGGCACTCATACCACATCTTCTTATATCTATATATTGTGTATAAGTTTTATGACAATTGGTTGAGGCAAACTAAAGTTAGAGAACGGAAACCAATTTTGGGACGTACGGACATAGGGACGTTCAGACGGACAAGGGTAAAGTTTAATGCCCCTCCGCTACGGCGGGGGCATAAGCTAAAAAATATCGATAGGTTATCGAGTTCCTTTTTGTGATATATGATTTTTTTTTTTAAATGGGGCGAAAAGGATGACTCGGACTTTTACATTAAATTTGGCATTGGCATTATTTGGGACATACGGATGCACGGACGTACAGACGGACAAGGGTAAAGTTTTAATGCCCCTCCGCTACGGCGGGGGCATAATAAGCTAAAAATATTGATAGGTTATAGAATTCCTTTTTGTGATATATGTTTATTTTTTAATGGGGGGAAAAGGATGACTAAGACTTTTACATTATATTTAGCATTGACATTATTTGGGACGTACAGACGCACGGACGTACAGACGGACAAGGGTAAAGCTTAATGCCCCTCTGCTACGGCGGGGACATAATAAGCTTAAAATATTGATAGGTTATAGAATTCCTTTTTGTGATATTTTTTTCACTAGAATTATTTCACACGCGAGTAAATGTAAATATATTTATTTTCTAAAAAAATATAAGTTCGATATCGCACAGCTAATTCTTCTAAAATCTAGAAACAACTGATTAACATAAAAGTTGACAAACACTAAAATTGGAACACGTGCAACCTAGTTCACGAGAAAGATAATAAACCGTTATTAGCTACCACAGACGAACATCTATCAACTCTTGCCATAAACTTGCGTATCGTCCCCATAACATTTATGAATTTCACAGTTGCTGAGTTCGGACAGAGAAAACAATAAACATTGATATAAACATCTATTAAAATTTTAAATTCAAATGAAAGTTGTGTTTTAAATTTCGTTTTTGTATTACTGTTCTCTCATATTTTCCATTATTTTGTAAAAAAAAATTGAAATTGTCTCAGTCAAATAATTTGACAAAGTTTATCAGAAGTTTAGCTATTACCCTATTATACTCAACGAAGCTCGGAGATAAATATACGTTCACCCGTTAGAACGTAAAAACGACCGTTGACTCGTCGAAAAAAGGAAAGGGGTGTGGTTTGGTCATTCAACAAGATAATTCCAAAGCTTTCAGACAAATTACTTCTTTATTTCAGCAATCACTTCTTTTTTATTAGTAAAATAAAATTAATAGGACTTCTTTCCATTTTTGGGGACCATTATTATCAATTATGTTGTGTGCAGTATACAAATATGTAATAATGTGCACGTTTACAATCATCCATGTTTTATGTGGATGGCGAAGTTGTTGACAGAAAGAGATATGCAAAAAGAATATAAAATGACATTGTCAAAGTTTTAGGACCCTGTTATTTCAATATAAAAAATTACTTTCTTCATTGTCGTGTTTGTGGACTACCGACTCAAGAGAATGTTGATTTCAACAAAGTGTGTTGTAAACGGCGTATACATACTGTCGGATAAATTTCGCGGGAAAAATATTGATGTACTTTTTTATACAAGTATAAAAAGTAACATCTTTCCATTATACAAGGTAAACCCCCCCTCCCCCCCTATTTATTTTCACCTAACTTCAGATTTCCAAACATAAACGATTCTGGAGTTTTTCTTAATAGATACGCCAATGTCTTCTCTAATGTCTCCTCTACGTTACATATACAGTCGTTGCCCGTCACAATCTCTATAAATTGGTCTTTAATCATCTTAAGGTACGCCATCCCTCGTTTTTACAATTTCAGTTTTTTAACCGTAACTTCAGATTTTGAACATTAACCACTCTGGAGATTTTCTCAAACGATGCGCCAATGTCTCTTCTACAACACCTATATAGTCGTTGCCCGTCACAATCTCTTTAAAATGGTCGAAATTTTTCTTTTAGTGCCCTACCCCCTAATCTCATTTTGTCAATTTTACAATATAATTTTCAGTTTTTTAACCGTAACTTCAGATTTTCGAACATAAACCACTCTGGAGATTTTCTTAAACGATGCGCCATTGTCTCCTCTACCTCACCTATATAGTCGTTGTCCGTCACAATCTCTTTGAAATGGTCCAAAATTTCCTTTTAGTGCCCTACCCCCCTAATCTCATTTTGTCAATTTCACAATAAAATTTTCAGTTTTTTCACCGTAACTTCAGATTTTCGAACATAAACCACTCTGGGGATTTTCTTAAACAATCCGCCAATGTCTCTTGTACAACACCTATATAGTCATTGTCCGTCACAATCTCATTAAAATGGTCGAAATTTTTCTTTTAGTGCCCTACCCCCCTAATCTCATTTTGTCAATTTCACAATAAAATTTTAAGTTTTTTAACCGTAACTTCAGATTTTCGAACATAAACCACTCTAGAGATTTCTTAAACGATGCGGAATTGTCTCTTCTACAACACCTATATAGTCGTTGCCCGTCACAATCTCTTCAAATTGGTCCAAAATAAACTGAAATTGGCCTACCCCCTTAATCTCATTTTGTCAATTTCACAATTTCAGTTTTTTTTACCGTAACTTCAGATTTTCGAACATAAACCACTCTGGAGATTTTCTTCAACAATGCGCCATTGCCTTATCTACGACACCTTGATAGTCGTTGCCCGTCACAATCTCTTGAAATTGGTCCAAAATTAACTTAAATTGGCCTACCCCCCTAATCACAGTTTGTCAATTTCACAATTTCAGTTTTTTTACCGTAACTTCAGATTTTCGAACATAAACCACTCTGGAGATTTTCTTCAACAATGCGCCATTGTCTTATCTACAACACCTTGATAGTCGTTGCCCGTCACAATCTCTTGAAATCGGTCCAAAATTAACTTAAATTGGCCTACCCCCCTAATCACATTTTGTCAATTTCACAATTTTCAGTTTTTTTACCGTAACTTCAGATTTTCGAAAATAAACCACTCTGGAGATTTTCTTAAACGATGCGCCATTGTCTCCTCTACAACACCTATATAGCCGTTGCCCGTCACAATCTCTTGAAATTGGTCCAAAATTAACTTAAATTTGCCTACCCCCCTAATTTGATTTTGTCAATTTCACAATTTCAGTTTTTTTACCGTAACTTCAGATTTTCGAACATAAACCACTCTGGAGATTTTCTTAAACGATGCGCCAATGTCTCCTCTAAAACACCTCTATAGTCGTTGCCCGTCACAATCTCTTTAAAATGGTCCAAATTTTTCTTTTAGTGACCTACCCTCCGAATCTCATTTTGTCAATTTCACAATATAAATCTCAGTTTTTTAACCGTAACTTCAGATTTTCGAACATAAACCACTCTGGGGATTTTCTTAAACAATGCGCCAATGTCTCTTCTACAACACCTATATAGTTGTTGTCCGTCACAATCTCATTAAAATGGTCGAAATTTTTCTTTTAGTGACCTACCCTCCGAATCTCATTTTGTCAATTTCACAATAAAATTTTCAGTTTTTTAACCGTAACTTCAGATTTTCGAACATAAACCACTCTAGAGATTTCTTAAACAATGCGGCATTGTCTCTTCTACAACACCTATATAGTCGTTGCCCGTCACAATCTCTTCAAATTGGTCCAAAATAAACTGAAATTGGCCTACCCCCTTAATCTCATTTTGTCAATTTCACAATTTCAGTTTTTTTTACCGTAACTTCAGATTTTCGAACATAAACCACTCTGGAGATTTTCTTCAACAATGCGCCATTGCCTTATCTACAACACCTTGATAGTTGTTGCCCGTCACAATCTCTTGATATTGGTCCAAAATTAACTTAAATTGGCCTACCCCCCTAATCTCATTTTGTCAATTTCACAATTTCAGTTTTTTTACCGTAACTTCAGATTTTCGAACATAAACCACTCTGGAGATTTTCTTCAACAATGCGCCATTGTCTTATCTACAACACCTTGATAGTCGTTGCCCGTCACAATCTCTTGAAATTGGTCCAAAATTAACTTAAATTGGCCTACCCCCCCTAATCACATTTTGTCAATTTCACAATTTCAGTTTTTTTACCGTAACTTCAGATTTTCGAACATAAACCACTCTGGAGATTTTCTTAAACGATGCGCCAATGTCTCCTCTAAAACACCTCTATAGTCGTTGCCCGTCACAATCTCTTTAAAATGGTCCAAATTTTTCTTTTAGTGACCTACCCTCCGAATCTCATTTTGTCAATTTCACAATATAATTTTCAGTTTTTTAACCGTAACTTCAGATTTTCGAACATAAACCACTCTGGAGATTTTCCTAAACGATGCGCCATTGTCTCCTCTACAAAACCTATATAGTCGTTGCCCGTCACAATCTCTTGAAATAGGTGCAAAATTAACTTTAATTGGCCTACCCCCCCCCCCCCTAATTTCATTTTGTCAATTTCACAATTTCAGATTTTTAACCGTAACTTCAGATTTTCGAACATAAACCACTCTGGAGATTTTCTTAAACGATGCGCCAATGTCTCCTCTACAATACCAATATAGTAGTTGCCCGTCACAATCTCTTGAAATTGGTCCAAAATTAACTTACAATTTCAGTTTTTTAACCGTAACTTCAGATTTTTTAACATAAACCACTCAGGAGATTTTCTTAAACAATGCGCAAATGTCTCCTCTTCAACACCTATATAGTCGTTGCCCGTCACAATCTCCTTCAAATGGTCCAATTTTTTCTTTTAGTGACCTACCCCCCTAATCTCATTTTGTCAATTTCACAATATAATTTTCAGTTTTTTAACCGTAACTCTAGATTTTCGAACATAAACCACTCTGAAAATTTTCTGAAACGAAGCGCCAATGTGTCTCCTACAACACCTATATAGTCGTTGCCCGTCACAATCTCTTCAAATTGGTCTAAAATTAACTTAAATTGGCCTAACCCCCTAATCTCATTTTGTCGATTTCACAATTTCAGTTATTTTACCGTCACTTCAGATTTTCGAACATAAACCACACAGGAGATTTTCTTCAACAATGCACCAATGTCTCTTCTACAACACCTATATAGTCGTTGCCCGTCACAATCTCTTGAAATTGGTGCAAAATTAACTTTAATTGGCCTACCCCCCCCCCCCCCTCTTATTTCATTTTCTCAATTTCACAATTTCAGTTTTTTAACCGTAGCTTCAGATTTTCGAACATAAACCACTCTGGAGATTTTCTTAAACGATGCGCCAATGTCTTCTCTATAACACCAATATAGTTGTTGCTCGTCACAATCTCTTGAAATTGGTCCAAAATTTTCTTTAAGTGCCCTACCCCCCTAATCTTATTTTGTCAATTTCACAATTTCCGTTTTTAGCGGTGACTTCAGATTTTCGAACATAAACCACTCTGAAGATTTTTCTAAACAATGCGCCAATGTCTCTTCTACAACACCTTTAAAGTCGTTGCCCGTCACAATCTCTTGAAATTGGTCCAAAATTAACTTAAATTGGCCTACCCCCCTAATCTCATTTTGTCAATTTCACAATTTCAGTTTTTTAACCGTAACTTCAGATTTTCGAACATAAACCACTCAGGAGATTTACTTAAACGATGCGCAATTGTCTCCTCTACAACACCTCTATAGTCGTTGCCCGTCACAATCTCTTGAAATTGGTCCAAAATTAACTTACAATTTCAGTTTTTTAACCGTAACTTCAGATTTTCGAACATAAACCACTCTGGAGATTTTCTTAAACAATGCGCAAATGTCTCCTCTTCAACACCTATAAAGTCGTTGCCCGTCACAATCTCCTTCAAATGGTCCAATTTTTTCTTTTAGTGACCTACCCCCCTAATCTCATTTTGTCAATTTCACAATATAATTTTCAGTTTTTTAACCGTAACTTCAGATTTTCGAACATAAACCACTCTGGAAATTTTCTGAAACGAAGCGCCAATGTGTCTCCTACAACACCTATATAGTCGTTGCCCGTCACAATCTCTTCAAATTTGTCCAAAATTAACTTAAATTGCCCTATCCCCCTAATCTCATTTTGTCGATTTCACAATTTCAGTTATTTTACCGTAACTTCAGATTTTCGAACATAAACCACTCCGGAGATTTTCTTAAACGATGCGCCAATGTCTCCTCTACAACACCTCTATATTCGTTGCCCGTCACAATCTCTTTAAAATGGTCCAAATTTTTCTTTTAGTGACCTTTCCCCCTCATCTCATTTTGTCAATTTCACAATATAATTTTCAGTTTTTTAACCGTAACTTCAAATTTTCGAACATAAACCACTCAGGAGATTTTCTTAAACGATGCGCCAATGTCTCCTCTACAACACCTTTTTAGTCGTTGCCCGTCACAATCTCTTGAAATTGGTGCAAAATTAACTTTAATTGGCCTACCCCCCCTCCCTAATTTCATTTTCTCAATTTCACAATTTCAGTTTTTTAACCGTAACTTCAAATTTTCGAAAATAAACCACTCTGGAGATTTTCTTAAACGATGCGCCAATGTCTCCTCTACAACACCTATTTAGTCGTTGCCCGTCACAATCTATTGAAATTGGTGCAAAATTAACTTTAATTGGCCTACCCCCCTAATCTCATTTTGTCAATTTCACAATTTCAGTTTTTTAACCGTAACTTCAGATTTTCGAACATAAACCACTCTAGAGATTTCTTAAACAATGCGGCATTGTCTCTTCTACAACACCTATATAGTCGTTGCCCGTCACAATCTCTTCAAATTGGTCAGAAATAAACTGAAATTGGCCTACCCCCTTAATCTCATTTTGTCAATTTCACAATTTCAGTTTTTTTTACCGTAACTTCAGATTTTCGAACATAAACCACTCTGGAGATTTTCTTCAACAATGCGCCATTGCCTTATCTACAACACCTTGATAGTCGTTGCCCGTCACAATCTCTTGAAATTGGTCCAAAATTAACTTAAATTGGCCTACCCCCCTAATCACATTTTGTCAATTTCACAATTTCAGTTTTTTTACCGTAACTTCAGATTTTCGAACATAAACCACTCTGGAGATTTTCTTCAACAATGCGCCATTGTCTTATCTACAACACCTTGATAGTCGTTGCTCGTCACAATCTCTTGAAATTGGTCCAAAATTAACTTAAATTGGCCTACCCCCCCTAATCACATTTTGTCAATTTCACAATTTCAGTTTTTTTACCGTAACTTCAGATTTTCGAACATAAACCACTCTGGAGATTTTCTTAAACGATGCGCCATTGTCTCCTCTACAACACCTATATAGCCGTTGCCCGTCACAATCTCTTGAAATTGGTCCAAAATTAACTTAAATTTGCCTACCCCCCTAATTTCATTTTGTCAATTTCACAAGTTCAGTTTTTTTACCGTAATTTCAGATTTTCGAACATAAACCACTCTGGAGATTTTCTTAAACGATGCGCCAATGTCTCCTCTAAAACACCTCTATAGTCGTTGCCCGTCACAATCTCTTTAAAATGGTCAAAATTTTTCTTTTAGTGACCTACCCTCCGAATCTCATTTTGTCAATTTCACAATATAATTTTCAGTTTTTTAACCGTAACTTCAGATTTTCGAACATAAACCACTCAGGAGATTTTCTTAAACGATGCGCCAATGTCTTCTCTATAACACCAATATAGTCGTTGCCCGTCACAATCTCTTGAAATTGGTCCAAAATTTTCTTTTAGTGCCATACCCCCCTAATCTTATTTTGTCAATTTCACAATTTCCGTTTTTAGCGGTGACTTCAGATTTTCGAACGTAAACCACTCTGAAGTTTTTCCTAAACAATGCGCCAATGTCTCTTCTACAACACCTTTAAAGTCGTTGCCCGTCACAATCTCTTGAAATTGGTCCAAAATTAACTTAAATTGGCCTACCCCCCTAATCTCATTTTGTCAATTTCACAATTTCAGTTTTTTAACCGTAACTTCAGATTTTCGAACATAAACCACTCTGAAGATTTTCTTAAACGATGCGCCATTGTCTGCTCTACAACACCTATATAGTCGTTGCCCGTCACAATCTCTTGAAATTGGTCCAAAATTAACTTACAATTTCAGTTTTTTAACCGTAACTTCAGATTTTCGAACATAAACCACTCTGGAGATTTTCTTAAACAATGCGCAAATGTCTCCTCTTCAACACCTATAAAGTCGTTGCCCGTCACAATCTCCTTCAAATGGTCCAATTTTTTCTTTTAGTGACCTACCCCCCTAATCTCATTTTGTCAATTTCACAATATAATTTTCAGTTTTTTAACCGTAACTTCAGATTTTCGAACATAAACCACTCTGGAAATTTTCTGAAACGAAGCGCCAATGTGTCTCCTACAACACCTATATAGTCGTTGCCCGTCACAATCTCTTCAAATTTGTCCAAAATTAACTTAAATTGCCCTATCCCCCTAATCTCATTTTGTCGATTTCACAATTTCAGTTATTTTACCGTAACTTCAGATTTTCGAACATAAACCACTTTGGAGATTTTCTTAAACGATGCGCCAATGTCTCCTCCACAACACCTCTATAGTCGTTGCCCGTCACAATCTCTTTAAAATGGTCCAAATTTTTCTTTTAGTGACCTTTCCCCCTCATCTCATTTTGTCAATTTCACAATATAATTTTCAGTTTTTTAACCGTAACTTCAAATTTTCGAACATAAACCACTCTGGAGATTTTCTTAAACGATGCGCCAATGTCTCCTCTACAACACCTTTTTAGTCGTTGCCCGTCACAATCTCTTGAAATTGGTGCAAAATTAACTTTAATTGGCCTACCCCCCCTCCCTAATTTCATTTTCTCAATTTCACAATTTCAGTTTTTTAACCGTAACTTCAGATTTTCGAACATAAACCACTCTGGAGATTTTCTTAAACGATGCGCCATTGTCTCCTCTACAACACCTATATAGTCGTTGCCCGTCACAATCTCTTTAAAATTGTCCAAATTTTTCTTTTAGTGCCCTACCCACCTTATCTTATTTGGTCAATTTCACTATAAATTTTTCAGTTTCTTAACTGTAACTTCAGATTTTCGAACATAAACCACTCTGGGGATTTTCTTAAACAATGCGCCAATGTCTCTTCTACAACACCTATTTAGTCGTTGTCCGTCACAATCTCATTAAAATGGTTGAAATTTTTCTTTTAGTGCCCTACCCCCCTAATCTCATTTTGTCAATTTCACAATAAAATTTTAAGTTTTTTAACCGTAACTTCAGATTTTCGAACATAAACCACTCTAAAGATTTCTTAAACAATGCGGCATTGTCTCTTCTACAACACCTATATAGTCGTTGCCCGTCACAATCTCTTCAAATTGGTCCAAAATAAACTGAAATTGGCCTACCCCCTTAATCTCATTTTGTCAATTTCACAATTTCAGTTTTTTTTACCGTAACTTCAGATTTTCGAACATAAACCACTCTGGAGATTTTCTTCAACAATGCGCCATTGCCTTATCTACAACACCTTGATAGCCGTTGCCCGTCACAATCTCTTGAAATTGGTCCAAAATTAACTTAAATTGGCCTACCCCCCTAATCACATTTTGTCAATTTCACAATTTCAGTTTTTTTACCGTAACTTCAGATTTTCGAACATAAACCACTCTGGAGATTTTCTTCAACAATGCGCCATTGTCTTATCTACAACACCTTGATAGTCGTTGCTCGTCACAATCTCTTGAAATTGGTCCAAAATTAACTTAAATTGGCCTACCCCCCCTAATCACATTTTGTCAATTTCACAATTTCAGTTTTTTTACCGTAACTTCAGATTTTCGAACATAAACCACTCTGGAGATTTTCTTAAACGATGCGCCAATGTCTCCTCTAAAACACCTCTATAGTCGTTGCCCGTCACAATCTCTTTAAAATGGTCAAAATTTTTCTTTTAGTGACCTACCTTCCGAATCTCATTTTGTCAATTTCACAATATAATTTTCAGTTTTTTAACCGTAACTTCAGATTTTCGAACATAAACCACTCTGGAGATTTTCTTGAACGATGCGCCAATGTCTTCTCTACAACACCTATTTAGTCGTTGCTCGTCACAATCTCTTGAAATTGGTGCAAAATTAGCTTTAATTGGCTTACCCCCCTAATCTCATTTTGTCAATTTCACAATTTCAGTTTTTTAACCGTAACTTCAGATTTTCGAACATAAACCACTCTGGAGATTTTCTTACACGATGCGCCATTGTCTTCTCTACAACACCTATATAGTCGTTGCCCGTCACAATCTCTTTAAAATTGTCCAAATTTTTCTTTTAGTGCCCTAACCCCCTAATCTCATTTTGTCAATTTCACAATAAAATTTTAAGTTTTTTAACCGTAACTTCAGATTTTCGAACATAAACCACTCTAGAGATTTCTTAAACGATGCGGCATTGTCTCTTCTACAACACCTATATAGTCGTTGCCCGTCACAATCTCTTGAAATTGGTCCAAAATTTTCTTTTAGTGCCCTACCCCCCTAATCTTATTTTGTCAATTTCACAATTAAATTTTAAGTTTTTTAACCGTAACTTCAGATTTTCGAACGTAAACCACTCTGAAGATTTTCTTAAACAATGCGCCAATGTCTCTTCTACAACACCTTAAAGTCGTTGCCCGTCACAATCTCTTGAAATTGGTCCAAAATTAACTTAAATTGGCCTACCCCCCTAATCTCATTTTGTCAATTTCACAATTTCAGTTTTTTAACCGTAACTTCAGATTTTCGAACATAAACCACTCTAGAGATTTACTTAAACGATGCGCCTTTGTCTCCTCTACAACACCTCTATAGTCGTTGCCCGTCACAATCTCTTTAAAATGGTCCAAATTTTTCTTTTAGTGACCTACCCCCCGAATCTCATTTTGTCAATTTCACAATATAATTTTCAGTTTTTTAACCGTAACTTCAGATTTTCGAACATAAACCACTCTGGAGATTTTCTTAAACGATGCGCCATTGTCTCCTCTACAACACCTGTATAAACGTTTCCCGTCACAATCTCTTGAAATTGGTGCAAAGTTAACTTTAATTGGCCTACCCCCCCTAATTTCATTTTATCAATTTCACAATTTCAGTTTTTTAACCGTAACTTCAGATTTTCGAACATAAACCACTCTGGAGATTTTCTTAAACGATGCGCCATTGTCTCCTCTACAACACCTGTATAAACGTTGCCCGTCACAATCTCTTGAAATTGGTGCAAAATTAACTTTAATTGGCCTACCCCCCCTAATTTCATTTTATCAATTTCACAATTTCAGTTTTTTAACCGTAACTTCAGATTTTCGAACATAAACCACTCTGGAGATTTTCTAAAACAATGCGCCAATGTCTCCTCTACAACACCAATATAGTCGTTGCCCGTCACAATCTCTTGAAATTGGTCCAAAATTTTGTTTTAGTGCCCTACCCCCCTAATCTTATTTTGTCAATTTCACAATTTCCGTTTTAGCGGTGACTTCAGATTTTCGAACGTAAACCACTCTGAAGATTTTCCTAAACAATGCGCCAATGTCTCTTCTACAACACCTTTAAAGTCGTTGCCCGTCACAATCTCTTCAAATTGGTCCAAAATTAACTTAAAATGGCCTACCCCCCTAATCTCATTTTGTCAATTTCACAATTTCAGTATTTTAACCGTAACTTCAGATTTTCGAACATAAACCACTCAGGAGATTTACTTAAACGATGCGCAATTGTCTCTTCTACAACACCTCTATAGTCGTTGCCCGTCACAATCTCTTTAAAATAGTCCAAATTTTTCTTTTAGTGACCTACCCCCGAATCTCATTTTGTCAATTTCACAATATAATTTTCAGTTTTTTAACCGTAACTTCAGATTTTCGAACATAAACCACTCTGGAGATTTTCTTAAACGATGCGCCATTGTCTCTTCTACAACACCTTTAAAGTCGTTGCCCGTCACAATCTCTTGAAATTGGTGCAAAATTAACTTTAATTGGCCTACCGCCCCCCCTAATTTCATTTTCTCAATTTCACAATTTCAGTTTTTTAACCGTAACTTCAGATTTTCGAACATAAACCACTCAGGAGATTTTCTTAAGTGATGCGCCAATGTCTTCTCTATAACACCAATATAGTCGTTGCCCGTCACAATCTCTTGAAATTGGTCCAAAATTTTCTTTTAGTGCCCTACCCCCCTAATCTTATTTTGTCAATTTCACAATTTCCGTTTTTAGCGGTGACTTCAGATTTTCGAACGTAAACCACTCTGAAGATTTTCCTAAACAATGCGCCAATGTCTCTTCTACAACACCTTTAAAGTCGTTGCCCGTCACAATCTCTTGAAATTGGTCCAAAATTAACTTAAATTGGCCTACCCCCCTAATCTCATTTTGTCAATTTCACAATTTCAGTTTTTTAACCGTAACTTCAGATTTTCGAACATAAACCACTCTGAAGATTTTCTTAAACGATGCGCCATTGTCTCCTCTACAACACCTATATAGTCGTTGCCCGTCACAATCTGTTGAAATTGGTCCAAAATTAACTTACAATTTCAGTTTTTTAACCGTAACTTCAGATTTTCGAACATAAACCACTCTGGAAATTATCTGAAACGAAGCGCCAATGTGTCTCCTACTACACCTATATAGTCGTTGCCTGTCACAATCTCTTGAAATTGGTGCAAAATTAACTTTAATTGGCCTACCCTCCTAATCTCATTTTGTCGATTTCACAATTTCAGTTATTTTACCGTAACTTCAGATTTTCGAACATAAACCACTTTGGAGATTTTCTTAAACGATGCGCCAATGTCTCCTCTACAACACCTATATAGTCGTTGCCCGTCACAATCTCTTGAAATTGGTGCAAAATTAACTTTAATTGGCCTACCCCCCCCCCCCCCCCCCCCCCCCTAATTTCATTTTCTCAATTTCACAATTTCAGTTTTTTAACCGTAACTTCAGATTTTCGAACATAAACCACTCTGGAGATTTTCTTAAACAATGCGCCAATGTCTTCTCTATAACACCAATATAGTCGTTGCCCGTCACAATCTCTTTAAAATAGTCCAAAATTTTCTTTTAGTGACCTACCCCCCGAATCTCATTTTGTCAATTTCACAATATAATTTTCAGTTTTTTAACCGTAACTTCAGATTTTCGAACATAAACCACTCTGGAGATTTTCTTAAACGATGCGCCATTGTCTCCTCTACAACACCTATATAGTCGTTGCCCGTCACAATCTCCTGAAATTGGTGCAAAATTAACTTTAATTGGCCTACCCCCCCCCTAATCTCATTTTCTCAATTTCACAATTTCAGTTTTTTAACCGTAACTTCAGATTTTCGAACATAAACCACTCTGGAGATTTTCTTAAACGATACGCCAATGTCTTCTCTATAACACCAAAATAGTCGTTGCCCGTCACAATCTCTTGAAATTGGTCCAAAATTTTCTTTTAGTGCCCTACCCCCCTAATCTTATTTTGTCAATTTCACAATTTCCGTTTTTAGCGGTGACTTCAGATTTTCGAACGTAAACCACTCTGAAGATTTTCCTAAACAATGCGCCAATGTCTCTTCTACAACACCTTTGAAGTCGTTGCCCGTCACAATCTCTTGAAATTGGTCCAAAATTAACTTAAATTGGCCTACCCCCCTAATCTCATTTTGTCAATTTCACAATTTCAGTTTTTTAACCGTAACTTCAGATTTTCGAACATAAACCACTCTGAAGATTTTCTTAAACGATGCGCCATTGTCTCCTCTACAACACCTATATAGTCGTTGCCCGTCACAATCTCTTGAAATTGGTCCAAAATTAACTTACAATTTCAGTTTTTTAACCGTAACTTCAGATTTTCGAACATAAACCACTCTGGAGATTTTCTTAAACAATGCGCAAATGTCTCCTCTTCAACACTTCTATAGTCGTTGCCCGTCACAATCTCCTTCAAATGGTCCAATTTTTTCTTTTAGTGACCTACCCCCCTAATCTCATTTTGTCAATTTTACAATATAATTTTCAGTTTTTTAACCGTAACTTCAGATTTTCGAACATAAACCACTCTGGAAATTTTCTGAAACGAAGCGCCAATGTGTCTCCTACAACACCTATATAGTCGTTGCCCGTCACAATCTCTTCAAATTGGTCCAAAATTAACTTAAATTGGCCTACCCCCCTAATCTCATTTTGTCGATTTCACAATTTCAGTTATTTTACCGTAACTTCAGATTTTCGAACATAAACCACTCAGGAGATTTTCTTAAACGATGCGCCAATGTCTCCTCTACAACACCTCTATAGTCGTTGCCCGTCACAATCTCTTTAAATTGGTCCAAATTTTTCTTTTAGTGACCTACCCCCCTAATCTTATTTTGTCAATTTCACAATATAATTTTCAGTTTTTTAACCGTAACTTCAAATTTTAGAACATACACCACTCTGGAAATTTTCTTAAACGATGCGCCATTGTCTCCTCTACAATACCTAGTTAGTCGTTGCCCGTCACAATCTCTTGAAATTGGTGCAAAATTAACTTTAATTGGCTTACCCCCTAATCTCATTTTGTCAATTTCACAATTTCAGTTTTTTAACCGTAACTTCAGATTTTCGAACATAAACCACTCTGGAGATTTTCTAAAACGATGCGCCATTGTCTCCTCTACAACACCTATATAGTCGTTGCCCGTCACAATCTCTTGAAATTGGTCCAAAATTAACTTAAATTTGCCAACCCCCTAATCTCATTTTGTCAATTTCACAATTTCAGTTTTTTAACCGTAACTTCAGATTTTCGAACATAAACCACTCTGGAGATTTTCTTAAACGATGCGCCAATGTCTCCTCTTCAACACCTATATAGTCGTTGCCCGTCACAATCTCCTTAAAATGGTCAAAATTTTTCCTTTAGTGCCCTACCCCCCTTATCTTATTTGGTCAATTTCACTATAAATTTTTCAGTTTCTTAACTGTAACTTCAGATTTTCGAACATAAACCACTCTGGAGATTTTCTCAAACGATGCGTTAATGTCTCCTCTACAATACCTATATAGTCGTTTTCCGTCACAATCTCTTTAAAATGGTCGAAACTTTTCTTTTAGTGCCCTACCCCCCTAATCTCATTTTGTCAATTTCACAATAAAATTTTCAGTTTTTTAACCGTAACTTCAGATTTTCGAACATAAACCACCTTGGAGATTTTCTTAAACGATGCGCCAATGTCCTCTCTACAACACCTATATAGTCGTTGTCCGTCACAATCTCTTTGAAATGGTTTAAAATTTTCTTTTAGTGCCCTACCCCCCTAATTTCATTTTGTCAATTTCACAATAAAAATTTTCAGTTTTTAACCGTAACTTCAAATTTTCGAACATAAACCACTCTGGAGATTTTCTTAAACGATGCGCCATTGTCTCCTCTACAACACCTATTTAGTCGTTGCCCGTCACAATCTCTTGAAATTGGTCCAAAATTAACTTAAATTTGCCTACCCCCCTAATCTCATTTTGTCAATTTCACAATATAATTTTCAGTTTTTTAACCGTAACTTCAGATTTTCGAACATAAACGACTCTGGAAATTTTCTGAAACGAAGCGCCAATGTGTCTCCTACAACACCTATATAGTCGTTGCCCGTCACAATCTCTTGAAATTGGTGCAAAATTAACTTAAATTGGCCTACCCCCCTAATCTCATTTTGTCGATTTCACAATTTCAGTTATTTTACCGTAACTTCAGATTTTCGAACATAAACCACTCAGGAGATTTTCTTAAACGATGCGCCATTGTCTCCTCTACAACACCTTTATAGTCGTTGCCCGTCACAATCTCCTGAAATTGGTGCAAAATTAACTTTAATTGGCCTACCCCTCCCCCCCCCCCCCCCCCCCTAATCTCATTTTCTCAATTTCACAATTTCAGTTTTTTAACCGTAACTTCAGATTTTCGAACATAAACCACTCTGGAGATTTTCTTAAACGATACGCCAATGTCTTCTCTATAACACCAAAATAGTCGTTGCCCGTCACAATCTCTTGAAATTGGTCCAAAATTTTCTTTTAGTGCCCTACCCCCCTAATCTTATTTTGTCAATTTCACAATTTCCGTTTTTAGCGGTGACTTCAGATCTTCGAACGTAAACCACTCTGAAGATTTTCCTAAACAATGCGCCAATGTCTCTTCTACAACACCTTTAAAGTCGTTGCCCGTCACAATCTCTTGAAATTGGTCCAAAATTAACTTAAATTGGCCTACCCCCCTAATCTCATTTTGTCAATTTCACAATTTCAGTTTTTTAACCGTAACTTCAGATTTTCGAACATAAACCACTCTGAAGATTTTCTTAAACGATGCGCCATTGACTCCTCTACAACACCTATATAGTCGTTGCCCGTCAAAATCTCTTGAAATTGGTCCAAAATTAAATTACAATTTCAGTTTTTTAACCGTAACTTCAGATTTTCGAACATAAACCACTCTGGAGATTTTCTTAAACAATGCGCAAATGTCTCCTCTTCAACACCTATATAGTCGTTGCCCGTCACAATCTCCTTCAAATGGTCCAATTTTTTCTTTTAGTGACCTACCCCCCTAATCTCATTTTGTCAATTTCACAATATAATTTTCAGTTTTTTAACCGTAACTTCAGATTTTCGAACATAAACCACTCTGGAAATTTTCTGAAACGAAGCGCCAATGTGTCTCCTACTACACCTATATAGTCGTTGCCTGTCACAATCTCTTGAAATTGGTGCAAAATTAACTTAAATTGGCCTACCCTCCTAATCTCATTTTGTCGATTTCACAATTTCAGTTATTTTACCGTAACTTCAGATTTTCGAACATAAACCACTCAGGAGATTTTCTTAAACGATGCGCCAATGTCTCCTCTACAACACCTATATAGTCGTTGCCCGTCACAATCTCTTGAAATTGGTGCAAAATTAACTTTAATTGGCCTACCCCCCCCCCCCCTAATTTCATTTTCTCAATTTCACAATTTCAGTTTTTTAACCGTAACTTCAGATTTTCGAACATAAACCACTCTGGAGATTTTCTTAAACGATGCGCCAATGTCTTCTCTATAACACCAATATAGTCGTTGCCCGTCACAATCTCTTTAAAATAGTCCAAATTTTTCTTTTAGTGACCTACCCCCCGAATCTCATTTTATCAATTTCACAATATAATTTTCAGTTTTTTAACCGTAACTTCAGATTTTCGAACATAAACCACTCTGGAGATTTTCTTAAACGATGCGCCATTGTTTCCTCTACAACACCTATATAGTCGTTGCCCGTCACAATCTCTTGAAATTGGTGCAAAATTAACTTTAATTGGCCTACCCCCCCCCCCCCCCCCCCCCCCTAATCTCATTTTCTCAATTTCACAATTTCAGTTTTTTAACCGTAACTTCAGATTTTCGAACATAAACCACTCTGGAGATTTTCTTAAACGATACGCCAATGTCTTCTCTATAACACCAAAATAGTCGTTGCCCGTCACAATCTCTTGAAATTGGTCCAAAATTTTCTTTTAGTGCCCTACCCCCCTAATCTTATTTTGTCAATTTCACAATTTCCGTTTTTAGCGGTGACTTCAGATTTTCGAACGTAAACCACTCTGAAGATTTTCCTAAACAATGCGCCAATGTCTCTTCTACAACACCTTTAAAGTCGTTGCCCGTCACAATCTCTTGAAATTGGTCCAAAATTAACTTAAATTGGCCTACCCCCCTAATCTCAATTTGTCAATTTCACAATTTCAGTTTTTTAACCGTAACTTCAGATTTTCGAACATAAACCACTCTGAAGATTTTCTTAAACGATGCGCCATTGTCTCCTCTACAACACCTATATAGTCGTTACCCGTCACAATCTCTTGAAATTGGTCCAAAATTAACTTACAATTTCAGTTTTTTAACCGTAACTTCAGATTTTCGAACATAAACCACTCTGGAGATTTTCTTAAACAATGCGCAAATGTCTCCTCTTCAACACTTTTATAGTCGTTGCCCGTCACAATCTCTTCAAATTGGTCCAAAATTAACTTAAATTGGCCTACCCCCCTAATCTCATTTTGTCGATTTCACAATTTCAGTTATTTTACCGTAACTTCAGATTTTCGAACATAAACCACTCAGGAGATTTTCTTAAACGATGCGCCAATGTCTCCTCTACAACACCTCTATAGTCGTTGCCCGTCACAATCTCTTTAAATTGGTCCAAATTTTTCTTTTAGTGACCTACCCCCCTAATCTCATTTTGTCAATTTCACAATATAATTTTCAGTATTTTAACCGTAACTTCAAATTTTAGAACATACACCACTCTGGAAATTTTCTTAAACGATGCGCCATTGTCTCCTCTACAATACCTATTTAGTCGTTTCCCGTCACAATCTCTTGAAATTGGTGCAAAATTAACTTTAATTGGCTTACCCCCTAATCTCATTTTGTCAATTTCACAATTTCAGTTTTTTAACCGTAACTTCAGATTTTCGAACATAAACCACTCTGGAGATTTTCTAAAACGATGCGCCATTGTCTCCTCTACAACACCTATATAGTCGTTGCCCGTCACAATCTCTTGAAATTGGTCCAAAATTAACTTAAATTTGCCAACCCCCTAATCTCATTTTGTCAATTTCACAATTTCAGTTTTTTAACCGTAACTTCAGATTTTCGAACATAAACCACTCTGGAGATTTTCTTAAACGATGCGCCAATGTCTCCTCTTCAACACCTATATAGTCGTTGCCCGTCACAATCTCTTTAAAATTGTCCAAATTTTTCTTTTAGTGCCCTACCCCCCTTATCTTATTTGGTCAATTTCACTATAAATTTTTCAGTTTCTTAACTGTAACTTCAGATTTTCGAACATAAACCACTCTGGAGATTTTCTCAAACGATGCGCTAATGTCTCCTCTACAATACCTATATAGTCGTTGCCCGTCACAATCTCTTTAAAATGGTCGAAACTTTTCTTTTAGTGCCCTACCCCCCTAATCTCATTTTGTCAATTTCACAATAAAATTTTCAGTTTTTTAACCGTAACTTCAGATTTTCGAACATAAACCACCTTCGAGATTTTCTTAAACGATGCGCCAATTTCCCCTCTACAACACCTATATAGTCGTTGTCCGTCACAATCTCTTTGAAATGGTCCAAAATTTTCTTTTAGTGCCCTACCCCCCTAATCTCATTTTGTCAATTTCACAATAAAATTTTTCAGTTTTTAACCGTAACTTCAGATTTTCGAACATAAACCACTCTGGAAATTTTCTTAAACGATGCGCCATTGTCTCCTCTACAACACCTATTTAGTCGTTGCCCGTCACAATCTCTTGAAATTGGTCCAAAATTAACTTAAATTTGCCTACCCCCCTAATCTCATTTTCTCAATTTCACAATTTCAGTTTTTTTACCGTAACTTCAGATTTTCGAACATAAACCACTCTGGAGATTTTCTTAAACGATGCGCCAATGTCTCCTCTAAAACACCTATAAAGTCGTTGCCCGTCACAATCTCTTGAAATTGGTCCAAAATTAACTTAAATTGGCCTACCCCCCTAATCTCATTTTGTCAATTTCACAATTTCAGTTTTTTAACCGTAACTTCAGGTTTTCGAACATAAACCACTCTGGAAATTTTCTTAAATGATGCGCCATTGTCTCCTCTACAATACCTATATAGTCGTTGCCCGTCACAATCTCTTGAAATTTGTCCAAAATTAACTTAAATTTGCCTACCCCCCTAATTTAATTTTGTCAATTTCACAATTTCAGTTTTTTTACCGTAACTTCAGATTTTCGAACATAAACCACTCTGAAAATTTTCTTAAACGATGCGCCAATGTCTCCTCTAAAACACCTATAAAGTCGTTGCCCGTCACAATCTTTTGAAATCGGTCCAAAATAAACTTAAATTGGCCTACCCCCTAATCTCATTTTGTCAATTTCACAATATAATTTTCAGTTTTTTAACCGTAACTTCAGATTTTCGAACATAAACCACTCTGGAGATTTTCTTAACCGATGCGCCATTGTCTCCTCTACAACACCTATATAGTCGTTCCCCGTCACAATCTCTTGAAATTGGTGCAAAATTAACTTTAATTGGCCTACTCCCCTAATCTCATTTTCTCAATTTCACAATTTCAGTTTTTTAACCGTAACTTCAGATTTTCGAACATAAACCACTCTGGAGATTTACTTAAACGATGCGCCATTGTCTCCTCTACAACACCTATATAGTCGTTGCCCGTCACAATCTCTTGAAATCGGTCCAAAATTAACTTAATTTGGCCTACCCCTCTAATCTCATTTTGTCAATTTCACAATTTCAGTTATTTTACCGTAACTTCAGATTTTCGAACATAAACCACTCTGGAGATTTTCTTAAACGATGCGCCAATTTCTCCTCTACAACACCTATATAGTCGTTGACCGTCACAATCTCTTTAAAATGGTCCAAATTTTTCTTTTAGTGACCTACCCCCCTAATCTCATTTTGTCAATTTCACAATTTAATTTTCAGTTTTTTAACCGTAACTTCAGATTTTCGAACATAAACCACTCTGGAGATTTTCTTATACGATGCGCCATTGTCTCCTCTACAACACCTATTTAGTCGTTGCCCGTCACAATCTCTTGAAATTGGTCCAAATTTTTCTATTAGTGCCCTACCCCTCTAATCTCATTTTGTCAATTGCACAATTTCAGTTTTTTAACCGTAACTTCAGATTTTCGAACATAAACCACTCTGGAGATTTTCTTACACGATGCGCCAATGTCCCCTCTACAATACCTATATAGTCGTTGCCCGTTAAAATCTCTTCAAATTGATGCAAACTTTACTTTTAGTGCCCTACCTTCCTCATCTCATTTTGTCAATTTCACAATTTCAGTTTTTTAACCGTAAATTCAGATTTTCGAACATAAACCACTCTGGAGATTTTCCTAAACGTTGCGCCAATGTCTCCTCTACATCACCTATAGGCAGTCGTTGCCCGTCACAATCTCTATAAATGGGTCAACAATCAACTTAAGGTATCCCCCTTTTTGTTTTTAATTACAATTTTTTCAACCTTACTTCAGATTTTTTAACATAAACCATCCTGAAAATTGTCTTAATAGATACACTAATGTTTCAGCAGCACAATCTCTATAAATGGGTCAAAAATCAACTTAATGTATGCCCTCTCCTCCCTTTTCGTTTTTACAATTTCTGTTTTTTAAACTTAACTTCAGATTTTTAAACATAAACCATTCTGGAGTTTGTCTTATTAGATACGACAATGTCTCCTCTATGTTACCTTTACAGTCGTTGCCTGTCACAATCTCTACAAATTGGTCAAAATCTTTATGGTATCCCTTTTGTTTTATTTTGTTTTATTCTTTTTTGTTTAATATTTTGAATATTCTTATAATTGTCCGCTAGGTCTCTGTAATTGTTCGCTAGCTCGAAAAGAACGTGATTGTCTATGTGAAATTGTGGTTTTTAGTTATACATCCTAATTGTTCGCTGGCTAATTGTTCGCTACAATTGTTCGCTAGCTTGAGTCAAGTAGTTTTTGGTGGGGTTCGTGTTGCTTAGTCTTTAGTTTTCTATGTTGTGTCATATGTACTATTATTTGTCTGTTTGTCTTTTTATTTTTGGCCATGGCGTTGTCAGTTTGTTTTCGATCTATGAGTTTGACTGTCCCTCTGGTATCTTTCGTCCCTCTTCTATCATATATAGGCATTTACGTTTTAATATTGTATTTATTTTGTGTCATAGATCAAACTTATTCGTTCAGTGTATGTTTACTTCCTTTTTTAAATGTCTTTTTGATCGAGTTAGGCCATTACAATTGATATTGTATAGTGTATCTTTTCATGTTGTACTGTTACACTACTGTCTTAGGTTAGGGTGATGTTTGGCGTCTGATAAAACGTTTAAACCCGTTGCATTTTAAGGCACCAGTAGTTGTCCTTTGTTGGTGTGGTTGATAGGTGTTTCTCAATTTTTATATAGATGAGATCATTTGTTTTCCTGTTTGAATTGTTTAATACTAGTCATTGTGGGCCCTTTATGACTTGCTGTGTGATCTAAGTCTCCGTGTTGAAGGCCGTATTTTGACCTTTAATGATTAACTTTTTGGAATGGGGTTTGTTGATATTTGAGGTTGAATATTCCTTTTGTAGATTATGTTAGAAATGCGCTTCAAACGCTTCCAAAACATTCAATTTGTTCATTTGATATCATTGTGATGATACCGATAATGGTCGACTAAAAATAATCGTTTGTTGATGTGTTACATATTTGTTTTCCGTTCAATTTTTACATAAATTAGGCCGTTAGTTTTCTCGTTTGAATTCTTTTACATTTTTCATTTCTGGGCCTTTTATAGCTGACTATGCGGTATGGGCTTTGCTCATTGTTGTTTCCCGTACGGTGACCTATAATTGTTAATCTCTGTGTCAGTTGGTCTCTTGTGGAGAGTTGTCTCATTGGCAATCATACCACGTCTTCTTTTTTTATAAAAGTCAACCATATACTGAGAAACATTTGACCTTGGTTTGAATTCCCTATTCATGTTAAATATGTAACACTCCCAAACATGTCCATCCCCCCAAACGTGTCCGATTCCCCTAAACGTGTCTATTCTCCCCAAACGTGTCCGTAATATTCATTATTCCCCAAACTGGTCCGATTTCATAACCCCCAAACGTGTCCGATAATTGTTATTCGCCAAAACGTGTCCACTATTTAACGCCAGAACGTCTCACGTCTTTTGGCGCCAATACATGTATGTCCTAAATGAAATCAATAACGTTTACGGCAATTCTATGATGGGGGAAACAGTTGATGAGGTAGTAATTTATTAGCATTTGTTTGTTCAATGCCGGTTGTTAATGATTATCATAATTGCTAATCTAATATGTAACATGGGTATTAACTTTTGACTGAATTTGCTTATTGTCCAGTTGCAAGTATTTCATGCTCATTTAGAGCGGGTATACAAATAATTCTAGTGCAGTTGTATTAATCGTTTACTATGTAAATTTTGTTTTACTAATAACTTCCGATGATTCCTTTTATATTGAGTCCGACGGCGGGCCTTCAGCAGAATTGACTTCCCTTTTTTTCAACAGTTCTGATATTTTAAAAGCTCTTCAAATCATTAACTGGTTTTCAGGTTTTTTAATGAATTTTAGGTTTCGAGCTTCACTAAAGACACACGAACAAGAGAAATAACGTCCAGTGCCAAATATTTCACTGATGCATAATTTGAACGATATCATGTTAACAATAAATTCTGTAGGCCTATATAGGTTCTATTATCATGCCGGGAACTTAGGATTGGGCCTAAGTTTTGACGGTTATTCGGGATTAACACTAGTTGGGATTTTGACTAAAAAAAATAAGAGCGTGTGAAGACGGATTTTTTAATGACTTCAGTAAGAAACTACTGCAATCTCCGTTATGTAATAGAGGCCGTTTTAAATAAAAGTTGCGGAAATTTAAAAAAAATGTTGCCTTCCAAAAGCTGATGGCACCACGAAAGAGTGAATTGCTACAAAGGTTTTAATGCGCAGAGAATGGGACATTATCCCAAAGAGGTATCTGATTTAATATCTACAATTTAACTGAGCATAGCTGCTTACATTTACATCCAACGGACGCCCCCACTTTAACTTAGGTTATATTGCTGGTTTAAAAAAGACCTACAGTAATTTATTTCTATTTTTTAATGAAATAGTAAAATGAGTAGGCCTATACGTTAATAAAAAAACAATAACCAAATAACCTACGTATTTATAATATGGACACGAAAAATAGTTCCAGTAAAAGAAACAAATTAAGCTTGATATGGACACGTTAGGGGGATTGGGCACGATTGGGTGTTCATTAAAAAATGGACACGTTTGGGCGTTTAGACAAATAACACGCTTTGGCGCCCTTTTACGTTTAGACATGTTTTGCAGTTCAGTGATGTCATGTGGACACGTTTGGGGGAATCGGACACGTTTGGGGGGAAGGTCACGTTTCTGAGTGTTACATATATATTTCATTATTTGGCCTCATATTTTTTTTTATTTCGAGCAGCGCGGTTGATTTTGTTGTAGACGTAACGCGTGTTTAGCGTCCAAAATTATAAACCTGGTATCTTTGTTTTCTAATTGGTTCCTCACTTATTTAAGTATTATGTTTTTTAAGGCTTTCAAAGTTTTGTTTTGAGGAGGAAAAAGTCAATCAAAAAGGCGCTTCGGAACTTTAACAATGCCGGTGTTGTTGACCTGCAAGTTTTCGAGAATATCATTAGCTCAAAAGTCAATGTTTCGCTATTGACAAATTATATAACATCACGTCTTTACATTCTTCATTGATTAATGTATAAATTGTATAAATTCTATCACTGTATCAAGTGTGATACGATTTTTATCCACTCCAAACAGTTATATTTTTTTCAAATTTAACTGCCGAAAGTGGATAAATATCGTATTGCACACAATGTGGTGGTTGAATCTATATTTCTAATGAGTTTTAAACGATATGAAGACTAATTCAATCCTTCCTTTTCGAATGATCTGCAAAAAGATGTGTTCTTTCTATGTGCTACGTCAGGCATGGTCGCCTTTTTTCATAACGTCACAATATGTTATTCAGAGGAAAGCAAGAAAATTTGACGTCATAATCAAATTTTGACTTATGAAAAAAACAGAGATCAATCGAACCACACGTTGATTAGATAAAAATCAACCGCTCAGGAAAAGGATAAGTCGTGTACGAATTAGAGAAAACAGATTTAAAACAATCTAATGCGAAGTTGAAAGAGATTAATTTGGTCAGTTGAGCCATTTAACCTCTTACCAATTGAGTAACTTTACATCCTTGTAATGTATGTTTTCAGATGAATGTAAGTTAAGAAAAACCCTTCGGACGCACCAAATGTACAAAGTGTTATGTGAATTTCGATATCGCTACTGAAAGATTGTTATTCCCAGGGGTATTATCAGCTTAGTTATTATGGCTGTGGTTTGTTATTATCTATAACATACTTTTCTAAAATTCGTATTTGATTAGTTAGTAGATATATATATCAAACTTTAAGTTTTTCTTATTGTTATAGGCCGTACGGTTGCCTATAATTGCTTACCCCTTACATCCACTTCATTTGAACTTTGGTGGATAGTTGTCTCATTGGCAATAATACCATATCTCGAAGTATAATGTCCGAGTATGCTTTGGTCACCTGTTACCTCTGTCTTGACAACACATATGTAGACAGCTTGTAGAGTAAAGAGTAGTCATGACTGTATCGATATAATTTTTTCTCTGTCTGTTTTTTTTTTACATTACGACAATGATTATAATTATAAAGATTCATTATATAACTTTACAGCTGACAATCTACTGCTAAATTCAGCGGGCATACTAAAGATAGCCGATTTTGGTATCACAAAAAGACTTTATCCTGTACAACATGTACAAGAAGGAGCTGTTGGATTGAAAACAACAATAGGAACAGTTACACATCTTGCACCAGAGGTTCTTTTTAAGGACAACGCTTTGTTTCCAAATTGTCCAAAATTCTATGGTCCTCCTGTTGACATATGGTAAATACGTACATTATAGCTATGTTCAAATAAAGTGTAGAATATACAATAATAATGGATAGATCGAAAAGTGTGCTATCGATAAAATCATAGATCATTTATATGGTTAAGTATTTGATAAATATGATTAATTATTTGATTGCATAATTTTCAGTTGCTAATAATTTATGAATGTTCAGTAAGACAAATATAAGATGAAAAAAAATTAACCAGGATAATAGGCAACTGGAACATTTTAGTTAATCTGATATGGATATTGATCTCTTAAAGAGTTGTTACAAGGGTGTGTGACGTGCAGAGAGCGCTCCCTCTATATATAGATGTTTTGAAGTTAACGACACAATTCTATTTTAAGAACTGGGACAGGGACAGGCAGAACTTCCTCCACACATACACGAACAAAGATTGCACGGTTTAATGAACTGACAAAATATTTGTTGGTAAATTGAAGCTACAGTGAAACATTCTTCCTTTTTACAACTGTATCGAATATCAAAAACATGAATCAGATATTGAACATGTTTGGGAGCTGAAATGTTTGCCTCCTTTTATCTGTAAAGGATACATATGACACGATATTGCGTATGTAAACAAACGTTATAATAACACAGCGTAGCAAGAGCAATGTGCTTAATTATAATGTGTCTATGATTTTGCAGTACAATCACATTGTACAGTAAATCATTGTTACGAAATATATAATGATACCATTTATTCTGTCTTTTTTTATTGGATGACATATTTGCTTCATTCAACCCTTCGATCGCAACCTTGTATAGATGATTGTTTTACTAAAATCAATTTAAGTAACACAATTTTGAAACTGCTTCAAAAACTGAACGGATCGCTCTATTACAAAGGATCCATATTTCTCTGGTGTAGTCACATGGTTACATAATGTTTAATTTGATCATGTATGTGTACATAACACAGATTGCATGTTCGAAATAATGGGGACCTGTAAGTGATTAAACTCATAATACCGATCTCAATTAGGGTAAACAATCAATACTGCGCATGCATGATTGAGAACTTTGAATCACAGGCATTTTTGGAAAAACATATAGAATCATGAATACAGTGCCAACATCATGAATATGTTAATAATCTAAACTGATGGCTATTGGAAGTCATGAATATCTATTAAAATTGTTAACCTGGAAGGCTTTTACACTGATGGTGACGGGACATAATGTTGTAGAGTTGATAATTTTGGATGTTAACCACATTATATGGGTCATATTGTCGTACTTGTTTTATTATACCAACCAAATAGTAAAGGGCCTGAGAGGTTAAGCTAGCTATAAAACCATTCAATTCGTCGTGAATGCCTTGACCATGTCAGACATATGACAGAATTGTCATCAGTTGGTTTATAAAGTTTAAGTTTTGTAAGGTATAATGTACATCCGTTCATTAGAATTAACCTTGATATTTTACATGTTTTGAAACATTGTTAAGATTTTGTTAAAACATTTGACCGTGCTCAGAAATTTTTTTTCACTTGTCGGCAGACTTCCCAAGGGATATATGTGCCTATCGTTGACAACGACCCAGAATCAGTATTATGAGATAAACATTTTAAAAACAAATATACCGAACTCCAAGGTAACTTCAAACAGGGTAAATCCATACAAACATACGAAATCAAACGTTATCAACTAACAGAAGGAGTGAAAAACAACTGTTAAATTCCTGACTCGAAACGGAATTTTCTGCAAAAAAATGGTTGGTTTAACCTTGTTGTATAGCTAAATAAAACTCTAACTTGGATGACAGTTGTTTATAGGTCCGTTATGTTGACAAAATTGGTTGAGCAACACAAACAGACATGATAGTTTAACATGACAATACTTGCAATAAAGCAGCCAAAACTATGTAAACATACATTACTGACATACAACACAGCCGACTAAAAAATTCAAACAATCATATAAATAAATCCAATAAAGACGGCAGTAAAAAAAGTCCTTGTAAGCAAAAACGACTTAAATCTATACTACGTTAGTTGAACGGTGACTATTACGGTCTGTTTGCCGAATTGATGTGTGCCTGTCTTCAACTAGCGACAAGTGTGCAACAATGAAAGACAAGAATACAAAAAAGTATATAGCACAATAACACAATGGCGAAATGTATAAATACGCAGCTGCATCAAAAGCCAAAAAAAGGAATAAATAGTAAAGTTTCAAAATATACAAAAACAAATAAAAAGAACACTATAACACGTAATTACGATTAAACAACGTCAGTACCTAGAATCTATACTTCAAAACCGTCATGTGTCAGTTGATACAGAATATTTATCTACAAGGTCTTGGTAAATTCCGATGAAATATTTGAATTAAAAAGGACGAGACGTTCTTTGACATAACCCTGGTCATCAACTTTCTGCTCAGAAGCTAGTATTTATAAAACCTGCGTAGCAGCTGCAAGCTTTTGAATGAGTTGGGAAATGTATATCCCATATGCAGGAGAAGTTGGTATATTGCTGCTACGATTACCATGATATGGTGGGTGATGCATACATTGCAGGAAACGCTTATCATATCAGCGCAATCGGTCTCGCACATTGTCTAAAGTTGATGCTATTCGCTCAGTTATGTTTGTATCTTATTAATCGATTTATGAGATAGAACATTGGTAAACAAGTTTTGCCTTTATTCACTTCAAAATGTGTACAGTCTAATCATGCTAATTTCATCGTTTATGTAAGGATCATTTAAATTAAAACTAATTACTGTTTACATAACTATCACATATTTGCATTTTGCATGAAGATATAAAGAAAACGGAGAACTTTAGAAATGTATATTTATTCCAAACCATTACAAACGGATACGACGAGACATTAATTTTTAAACGTCTTAGGTAATGGATCAAAGAAACACACGCCTCGACAGATTGTTAAACATTGACATTGTAATTATTTTGTGTTTTATATGCCGCCTTATTTTGGTATAGTTCTTTAACTATGTACAGAAAACACAAGTACAAGACAAGAGGCCTTAAAAGGTTCGCAACTAGTGGAACATTTAGTTTAGCCGTTTTTTTATTTTTTCATTTGATCGTCACTGATGAGTCTCACTTAGACAAAACGCGTGTCTAGCGTACAAGATTTAATGTCTGGCCTCTAACGTGAGTTAATATAGTGCAAACATAGATAAAATCGATCGTTCAATATATTTATTTATAACAATATATAACTTCTGAATTGAAAAATACCAAGCGTTATTTGTTGTTGACAGATAATCGTTATATTTCACTTTTTAAACATAAGCAGACCTGACAACTATACTGATTTATGGGATATATCCCCCATGAAAGAGTTTTGAAATGCTTTATTTTATTATCTGCACACCTCAAACCAGGCATTCAAATGAGTCAAAAGGGTTTATCAGCACATACATTCTTATTCAAACAATAAAGTAGTAGTTTAAAAACCCTTATGACAAAAAAAGAGGAGATTGAGTTACTCTCGCGCTTCAAATCTACAATGGAGATTTTCAAAAAATTGGCAGGTATTCAAGTGTTGATGTATGATTCAATTTTCAAACACTTTCCATCTTGCAGAAATGAACTTAGAAGATGCTATTCCTTAGTTGCCAACAAAAAAACATGCTTCTCATTTAGTTTTTGCATGAACATTGAATCGTACCACCCTAATCTTAAAAACCATTATGAGCGTGTTTAATTGTTTTGCGTGCTATAACGCAAAATCAAAGTCGGGACAAATTCAGTGCATGACTAGCTATCTTAAAATCATCTTGTGCATTTAATACGTTAAATCATATATAAAATATGCAGTAGGAAATGAAATTTTACAAATAAAATAGCAAGGGGAACATTAACTTGAACTATATAGTTTCGATAATACTGAACACAACAATGTGTTATTTTATTCATAATAAGATATGTTTACACTAAACCCGTCTTAATATTTGTTCCTTTGATTCAGTCGGTTATTTTATTATCAATTATGAAATGTAGTCAAAAACTACACGTTACTTTAGAGTTAAGGTTTGCTATAATCCATATGTAATGTATCTCTATTTAGAACAATGCAATTGATAGATTATGCAATGCCTTGTATTTGTGTATCAATAATCAGATCCTTACTTGCCTCAATTTTTTATTTGGAGTATATACATTAGCTTCTCATCATACTAGTATGAGATTGTTTATATCTGTAAAACTGAAACATGTATTTGTATAAAACAAACACTAACAAATGCATTTGTACAATGCGAATAGTACACTGTACAATGCTGTAGTATGCAGAGATTTGAATGTTTAATACTTTGTAGCTGTAATGGACTTGTTATATATGACGCTTAAAACGAACTATATTGAAAGTTTTTATAGAATTATTTCACAAGGGGGAATTGTAATAAATAACTTTAAACCATATCAAACAATGAGAGTGTCAACTACATTTCTATTTGAAACAGCAATCCAATAACACATTTACATCGAACATATATATATATATATTTATCATATATCTAGTAGTAGATACAGTAGTTTTGAATATTTGATTAATAGCCTGCTGTTTAATCCGTATCACTCAACTTTGACGCGGACCCTTTATCATACCCCTTTATCTCATGTCTACCCTTTATCACACCCCTACTCGGAAGTCTCATGTCCATGTTTTGATTTATGCAATATTCTCATCCTTTCTGTATATAATTCAAATAAAATCTCGACGATCAAATAATGAAATATTTTTCTTCAATGGGTCTCAAATGAAACGGTCATTATGGCGTGACGTCATTTATCGAATGTCATTGTTTGGCATGTGACGTCACAGACGTCAAGCTTTCATATTTTCTGACACGAAATGTAACCATAAAAAAACTACCGGAAGCAAGAGGGTTAAACTTTAAATTTTGATGTTTCAAAAGTGCACATTTTATGTTGGTTTATTGTTACTATTTTTTTTTTATTCAGAATGTGTTTTATATAGTATAACATTACTAAAGGATGATAAAACGAACTCAATAAAATAGCATACAAAACACAAATAAACAACAAAAAATACAATAAACAAAATATTTCAATGGACAACAAGACGCAAATTGTAAGGTAACCCAGGTGCTTCGGATGAATAATAATGCAGTTCCTATATTTGATTAAGCTTTTAAAACAAGGAAAACATAAATATGAATGTAAACCAGGTGCTTTGGACTATAAACAGTTCATATATACTATCTGTTTAAATATATGATAAAGCGTATAAAACATGGCAAAATCCGTATCACATGCCGTATCACCCTCGACCAATATCAACCCTCGGGCATAAAGGCCCTCGGGCTGATATTGGTATCTGGGAATGATACGGCATGTGATACGGATTTTGCCATGTATTATTCTCTCTCTCTCTATATATATATCAATTGGAGGTCTTAAACAATAGACACGTGTGTATAGCATACGGCATGCTGGACAAAATGACAAAAAGTATATTGATGTTATATCTGTTACATGAAAATTGGAAAAAAAACATCCACATAGTGCATATTGACGCAAATCAAAAACTGTTGTTACTCAATAATTGAAATATGATGAAAGAGACGGAGAGTTCTATTTTAACAAATTTCTGTATAGAAAATTAGTTATAATACTCAAAGCTTTTTTGTTTTAAAAGATGTCTTTGTTTTTATAGGAGTTTAGGATGTACTGTCATGGAAATGCTAACAGGGAGATATCCACAGTCGCAAGATTATTTCAAATCCATTTATTGGGGATTTAGATATGGGTTTAAACCTTTCAATTCGTACCGACCAGCAAATATTTCAAACGAGTGTTGGTGCTTTATAAAGGTTACTATCTGTCCAGACCATAGACACCGCTGGAAACCTTGTTTTTTGTTAGATCACACATGGCAATCAATTCAATAATTTAATGTAAACCATCATGCAAGTTTTATGTAAAAATAAATAAATTTACTGATCCTCCTTATTTTGCGTCTGAGTTTGTGTTGTGCCTTGGTACGTTCCGACAATTATAAGTTGTAAATACGTTTGCTGCTATATATCATATTTTTTTTCATTCATTGTTTTGTACATAAATCAGGCCGTTTTTTCTCATTTAATTTATTTTACATTTTTCATTTCGGGGCATTTTATAGCTGACTATGGGTATGGGCTTCTCTCATTGTTGAAGCCCGTACGGTTACCTACAAATGTTAACTTCTATGTCATCTGGTATTTGTTTCAAATATAAAACTAGTTGATATTGAAAATGTATTACCAAATTGTAATTGTATTTGATCAGGAGCCTGTATTTCAGTGGTTGCTGTTTACTATATATTTCAAATTTGATTTCGTTCACTGTTTTGATCTTAAATCAGGCCGTTAGTTTTCTCGTTTGAATTGTTTTAACAATTGTCCTTTCGGGGCCTTCATACATGCAGCTGACTACGTGGTTTTTGTTTTACTCATTGTTGAAGGCCATATGGTGACCTATAGATGTTTTAACTTTAAAACTTCCATGTCATTTGGTCTCAATTGTCTCATTGGCAATTATACTACATCTTCTTATTTTTATATTAATACATATATATTAATGACGAGAAATACATTTCTTTTTTTAATTATTCTTTCAAAATTGAAAAACAAGTTACAATTACATGTGTTTGAACATTCAACAAATAAACACAAACATACATAGTTAGTACTTGTTGGAACTTGACATAAGATTTATAACCAGCCTCAAATCTGTGTCCTTTTACTTCACAACACTTAAATCTGTGGCCTTTTATCAAGCACACATATGTATCTTTTCCGCAGATCTGTATCCCGTGACGTCATGCCCCTACAATATGTGGCTCGTCGTTATTTCAAATCCTTATTTACAATGTTAAGCCTTCTATCTTTGATGAGATTTCCTTTGCAGATCTTACTGCATAATAAATGTCTCCTTGTTAATAGTAACACATTTGACAAAGCCCACCTGTAGCTGTTAATCTTTATTTAAGTGATTTGTGGATTCAGTTTCTGTTGTTGCTAGGGGAGGGGGTTGTTATTCAGTCTTGAGTTTTCTATTTTGTTTTTGTGTTATATTGTTTAGTCTTTTCTTCGTTCTTCGTTTTCTGCCATGGCGTTTTTCAGGTTTGTTTTTTTTTTTTTTTTTGTCTTATGAGTTTAAATATCTCACTGGTATCTTTCACCTCTCTTCTCTCAAAATAAAACTAAAACTGGTTTCTTTATATAAATAACTGTACTCTGTAGACTACCAATTCTAGTTGTCAAGCAAATAAGAAATTAAAATGTAAAGCAATTTTTCCTACGTTAAGTTATTTTAGAGAAGCGAGTAATTTATAAATATTCCTATGACATGTCCTTCCTGCATTGTTTGTAGATGTTTCAACATTCGTCGAGGTCCAGTTTTTCAAGACAGTGTACATCACCAATGTTGCCTCCGTCGAGGACAGTAAGTTAATTTCATGATACATTGTTTTATCGAACATTAAGATTAAATGTATTGCTTGGAATTCGAATTTCCAACATAACCTTTAACCATAAATCGAGTCTGCTGAGATTACGCGGTAATACTGGATATCGTTTGCTGTTATATGTATGTATCTATATAAAGAACACACGAGACGTTGAAAATTTACGCTGCTGATCGACTAGATGCGATCTATAATGTGTATTACATTGTTTATCAACAATTGCATATTGCAAGCGTAAGTATAATACTTATGGCATTTTAAAAGTATTCCCATGTTCATCATATTCATAGCGATGGATCGATTTTTTTTTCTGAAACTAAAAACAATAATGATAATAATGATCATACTAATTGTTATTTGTATTATAACCATTGTTTTAACATAACATCGTTAATGTCATTGTTTACTTGAATGCAGAAATCAAATTTTTCTATCATTGTATATGAAGTTAAATTTAAGGTAAAAGAGGGACGAAAGATACCAGAATAACAGTCAAGCCCATAGATCGAAAATAAACAGACAACGCCATGTCTAAAAAAAAAAGAAAAAGACAAACAGACAAATAATAGTACACAAGACACAACATTGAAAACTAAAGACTAAGCAACACGAACCGCACCAAAAACTGGGGGTGATCTCAGGTGCTCCGGAAGGGTTAGCAAATCCTGCTCCACATGTGGCACCCGTCGTGTTGCTCATGTTATTATAAACCCGGTAAATAGTCTAATTCGACACTAACAAAGACACTTAAGTACAGATCTGAGAGTACTCGCAGTTACTGACAGCTAGTTCAAAGCCAATAACAACTAATACAACAATCGTACTTCTAAGACTAAATGATCAATTTCTAATGGATTTAGTGTAAAGACGTCATAAACAGTCAGAAAAAAATGACCTTGTGCAATGCCAACGCAGGTAGGTTAATGCTGTTCTAGAGTAAATCGGCTATCTATTCATAAAAAAATCATCGAAATTTGAAATTATTTTGAGTTTTAGTCCAGAATCTTTCATACCCTAAACTAATTATGATCATCCCTTATATCATCCAAACTTTTAGTTTCTGGTGTCTCAGAACTCCCCACCTCGTTACCATGGTAACGGCCGACATTTAAAGATGGCGTGTGAACCTTCAACTTCAAGAGCCCGGCACAGCCCAAAGAACTATATCAATGAATGAAAATAAAGTTGTATTTGGTTGACAAAGATGTTATCTTTCCTGTAACAGCTGTTTCTTTCTTTAAATTTGCCCTTTTATAATAAAAGATAACAGAAGTGACATACAATCCAACCATGCAAACACCAAAAATCAACTTTCTTGTCAATTTTGAAAATGTTGTATTCATTTTAAAAACAAGAAACAGCAATCTTGGTGTTCATAAGCTTTCCAAGAATAAATATGCCAAGTTTTAAAGAGATCAATACATATTAACGGGGTGTGCCAATGCGATCTTTATAAATGAATGATACCCAAGTCCTTTCGCGGCGACATTTAAACACTGAAATGATTCAGACCGATTATTCCCCTTTATTATATCAAAGTGCCGAGAAAGAAATAAACGACATTGTGATAGTTTTTGACTAGAAATGGACACATTGAAGATGTTAAACAATGTTATTTTTTCATTTTTATACTTGAAGGTGTTCACGAATCTTGAGAAAAATCACGGTGCTTACGAATGTCATGAGGGGAAAAAGGGGGGATACTCTAACGTTATACTTTGTAAGATATTGTAAGAGTTTCGTAACCCCTTGTTCATTTCTTACTCCACATATGTGCCGATTGTAAATAAAATTAACTTGGTTACTTTCTTAACTTCGATTCTCATAGGGATTCTACGTTGCTTTAAGATATGGAGATAACGAACGACAAATAAAATCTTTCTAAAACAAAATGATTCTCCTGCATTAGAAAAAAAGCCATATTTAACAAACGCTAGTGGCAGTAGTGCATGGAAGTATGAAGCCCCTTTTATCAAACTCATGTTTCATGAGAAATATTAATTTGCTTAGTCGTGATAAAGTTTTTTTTCAAAGTTTTTTTTTAAACAGTTTTAAATAGATTGTATGCTAGAGCTATGTTCATTTGTTGAACATGCATCATTCATTCATTGCAGTCTCTTGAATAGTAAATTAATAAATTCAAAAACAGGTCCATGCATTGGTCCAGAATTAAAACCAGAAAAAAATATAATACTAGGTCATGTACAGATCTGTACAGTATGAACTTTTTTTCTATTGTTATAGAAAAAAAAATTAAAATAAGACATTTCCTTTAAAAGATGAAACTATTTGTTAATTCAATTAAGTTGTATGCATGTGAAAGCCATTACTTCTTCAAGAGTACATTATGAGTATTATTTGACTATTAAATACATAATGTCTATTTTCAAAAGATTCATAAAAACTATGATAACTTTTCATTCATTTCAAATAGTTTTCTCAGACTAAATACTAAAAGCATTGTATATGTCAAATTAAACTGAAAATCCTTATCATAATGCATACAATACTTTCTTGTGGTTTTCCATGATCCATAATAAACATGATAAATGTAGAAATATATCATACTGCTGATTTTCATATGTTAATGATGTACTGGAAAATTCTTTATTCCTAAACTTGTCTTTTATTTCACATATAACTTGCAAAGAATATTCCTATATACATGTAAAATATTGTGAATTACAATATATATATGCCAGTTAGTACATGCAGTTATATTACCAGCCTAAATTATAATTCTCACTCAGTTCACAGTTTTATGAATATATCCAAAATTATCTCAATAACTGGCATATAATGAATAATGATATGACCATTTCCTTTTGTGTGTTGATATTACAAGAAAGAAGTGCACAGTCATTTCCTCTGGTGTAATACTTTTATTTCTTTGTCTTCAATGCTCCAGAGTCAGTTTTAACAGTAATGTAATCCTTCCTTTTGTTGTCATACTGAAAATTTCTTCATTCCAAAAGTCACATATGACATGGCAAGGGGTTCTTTCATATTCAGCACTGTTATAGTTTTGTTATATGTCCTCAAGCTTTTATCTTTAAAACATTCATTTCACTTTTTTTTCATGCATAGATCTAAAACTATCCCCATATATGGTCATAAATTGTCTGACAATTTCCTTGTGTGTTTTGATCTTCAAAAGAAACAAGTGGTTACTCTTTTTCTCTGATTACTTTTTCCCATTTCAGTTAGTAAAAACTTGTATAACACCATTGCATCCAAGTCATCTAAATACATATACTGAAAAAAAGTATGTAAACATTTAGTGAAATTTTAAAGTTATTAGTATTCATTTATGATACAAATAGAAAACTTCAGTCAAAATTGTGTGTTCCTAAATTATTATTGAATTAAAAGTAAACTTGACAAAAAGTTCTACATTGATTTAAAATGAACTTTTGATTTATGAATTTTCTGTAAAAGTACAATACAGTTTGTAAGCACAACTTACTTGAACTGATATTTACCCATCACAATGCTTTACTAATCTGTTATTAATTAATATGACTTAATCAATATTTAGTGGGTGTGACTCAATACAACAGACAACTTATACTGAAAGGATTCAAACTAAATTTTATACACACCAGATTATAAATAAACATAATTAAGATTGATGTGAATTGTTTTAAAACATGTTTGTCAAGATTTGGAAAGATCTACACAAAGAAACATAGACTTCAGATACACATTTTTATAGTGAATCGATATTACAAATAAACAAATAGTAATAATCTAATGACTATAAACATAAGAAAAATGAACAAATTAATAAAGACAAAAATTTAAATGTACACTAAAAGGGATGATTTAAAATGATAGTATGATGACTATCAGATTTAAAACCATAAAAGAAAAGTTGTTTATCAATTATGGCCATGATAATAAATAATACTTCTCACATATAACATCTCATGTGCCTGCCAAAGCAATTTTATTGAATGCAGGCAAGTCATAGCCATTAGTATGATGCATGCACAGAGTCATATGTATGCATATATTTATGATTTTTTTGTTGTATTTTTGTAATATATTATAAATTGAAATAAGCACCTAATTAAGAAATGATTTTGCATGTGCAATCAGGGCTATCTGAAGATTCATGTTCAAATAAACCTGATAAATCTTTAAAAAAAATGTTTAGGTGTTTCCCTCCAACATAAGTCCGAATTATATCGACATGCATACGAGACAGATTAAGGGGAGAGGGGGGGGGGGGGAATTAAGGGGAAAGCTGGCGGGCATGGTGTTCGGACTTTTTATCAAATTCCACTCCTTACGTTGCATTGTTGCTGACCATTAAGAGCCCGTATTTAAAAATATTAGACCCGCATCTGTGCATGGCAGGTCCGTCTGCAAAATGTCAACATAAAGTAATTTAGTCAATGGTCAATGAAGAAATGATTGTTTATAAGCGAGTAAAATAGTGCTTACGTGCATAAATCATTTATAGGAAGTTTGTCTTTTAATACAGTATACAGACTGCCCTCGTCATGTTGACAGCTAAACGTGTAATGAATAACCCCATTTTTAGGTAAACAATGCGACTTTCTCTACAGACTATAGCTTCATTCACACTCAATCGTGAATGAAATGAATAATGACGGTGTTCGACAGTAGAGGGCTAAGATAATTTAAAACAAACTTACCTCAAAATATAAGCAACACACTTCTAGATTAACGTGTTTTTGTTGGACTGATGACAGTAACTTTTATCATAACAAGGTGCTCGACCAGCTGTTCGTGACAAGCTCAAAATTGACGTCGACGAAACGTTCTAGCCAATCACGTGTCGAATAGTTAAGAGAATGACGTCAGATTTAGATTGCGATGCAAACACAGAAAATCATTGCCAAATTTTTTCAAACTGCATTAACCTACCTGCGAAGATACAGGATTAGACAGACTGTAGATCCATGAAAGTGTAATTGTATATAATAATAATATTGAGTTTGCCTTATTAATATTAACAGCAATAAAAATAATATTCAAAGATCTTATGACAGTGTTTAATTAGTTACCTTTTTGAAAAAGTTTATTTAAAGGGCCGATAAGTTTACCAGGATCGTTTCTAAATTTCCGAGCACGGTAACAACATCTCCATAAAAAGTGGGATGGGCTTTCCCGTCTGAAATAAGTTTTCTACAGGTACAACCACATTTCGAAACCAATCTTTATATCTATAGAAGAATTTTGTAAAAGTTATAAGAAATTTGTGGTAACGAAATCCCTTGACTTAAAAATTTACCAGTAGTACATAGATTCCGTTCGTTAAAACCTAAAACGTCACAACAGACACGGGCATAGCGAACGAGTTGTGAAATATAAACACCGTAAGATGGTGCCAAAGTGTGGAGTTTCCTGTGTAAAACTGAAATATCTAAATCTAGGAAAGGACAGTTATTAGCGTTTACATTTGATTCATTTAAAGTTAGGTTTTAATTTCGGCAGAATATTTAGAAAATTCTTGATTTTTTTTTACGAAAAAATATCATCAAGATTACGTAAGTGTTGCTGAATTTATGAATTAAATGCCATTAAGACGGGTTTTCATTGAGTTTGGTCATAAAATGTGATTCATAACAGTACAAAAACAAGTCTGATATTAAAGGGGTGCATGACAAATCTACTATTGAAGGGATTGTATGATTATGTAGATTTAATCGATTGAAAGGTTTACAAAATTTAAAACATTTTCGAAATACAAAGGATTTCCTACCCCAGGAATAGATGACCCTTGATGTATTTGGCACAAACCCTCGGAATTTTGGGTTTTCAATGCTTTTCAACTTCGTATTTTATTTGGCGTTTTTATCTTTTTTTGGTCCGTTAATGAAAATCCGATAAAACATGTGATTTTTTTACGAATTCCCAATTTGACACCATGATATTTCATTGATATGAAGACATACCAGTGTTTGGATAGCATTATTATATTATAAGAGATATCAGTCCTTTTAATTTATGTAAAATCAAGTACATCCATTTTTAGTAACACATTGGGCCTTTTAGTTTTTTAATCGTGTACCGTTTTTGGATTTTTTTTTGTCCTCAATGCTCTTCAACCTTTTACTTGATTTGGCTTTCTAACTATTTTGATCGGAGTGTCACTGATGAGTCTGATGAAGACGAAACGCGCGTCTTGCGTATCAAGTTATAAGCCTGGTACCTTTGATAATTATTAATATTGTTTTACGTTCATTGACGACGCGATCGGTACTCCTTGAAATAATTGCGGACAAAACTCAATTCAGGAAAAGTATAAATGCCGCGTATTTGATAAAATGGTCTTCGTGGACTGTTTTATTTGTATTTACTTGTATCGGAGATATATTGTTTTTCATTTATTTATTAAATACATATTTTTTTTATCATTCAATTTGGTAAAAACAAGAAGTGTAATTGCAAAGGGCTCTTGCATTCAACTTTTTTGCAGACAGTATGGTCTGATGCCCTGTTGTTTTCACTTTTCAATGGAAAACTTGCATGTAGTTTTAGTCTCAATTGGCATATATTTGAACTACTTACTATCCCAAAGAAGAAAATGATGGTAGCATATGCCATGAATAAGGTGTTCTGATCATTGTAAAGTGCTTTTATTTACAGATTTAGTGAAACATTTGTGATGGACTACAGAGTTCATGTACAAAACTCTTCACATTTCACATACATCAAACAGGCCGTTTAACCAGGGCCATAAATACAACATATTTTGCACATTTGTTATGTGATAATCTACTTTTCTCTAGATTCAGAGTTCACGCATGGTTAACAAAATATGAATTAAGCATAGAAACACGAATATCAAAACATAAACAGCTGTTAGATAGAAAGTCAGCATGCCTCTTATGCATAAAATTGGAAACTGCTTTAAAATGATTATTTTAGCCGTAACATTTCAAAATGGGACATTTTAACAGAATTTCTATCAAACAAAGATGTAAATTCTTTACTTTTATTGAGTTTGACAAAACAAAATCAGCAAACAAATCAGGGAAATTGCAAAGTAATTGTGCAGTGTACTACTATTGGGACAAATAATATCAAAATTATAGAAACTTCTACCAGCTCTAACTCAAAATATTGACAATTCTATGTTAAGGGGGTCTAAAATTCAGTTTGACAGCTTCAGACATACTAATTTTTTACCTTTTTCAACTGGACCAAATCATTACTTAACATAAAGATTCAACACTCAAACTTTTTAACATGTAATTTCATCCCCTTACTTAATATTTCATGCATAAAATATCACGAAATAAATTGGGAAAGTGTATTAAAAAAATGCAAGTTATACACTGTTCACAGTAGGGACTATATTTGTAGACAACGAAAACCAAAGGACGATAACTGTGTCCTTGGACCTAATAGGATAGATAGACTTGACTAATTTTAATAAAACTTTGTATAACCTAAGCTTAGGCAATTATTAGATATTTGGACAAGTTTCATGGCCATAGGATATATATCATAAAATTTTGTCATTTCAATACTGAAATTTGGATGTTTAATTTTGACGTTTAAATCATTTATATATATAACTTTCAAGATTTTGACCTAAAAGTTTTGAATATTGCAAATATTTGCTTTTTAAATGCTCTTGCATATAATATATTAAGTATTAAAAGCAACTGAATACTCATTTGATTTATCAGATTTGTTAATATTTTCAAAAGTCAAATTTCTATAAGCTTGTGCATCAAAATAGAGATTTTCAAATTAAGGAAAGCCTAACATGAACATGCATTTCTTTCAACCAATTTGAAGTTTTTGAATCATAACTGATTCTTTCACATATAATAAGTGTACTTTAAATGTAAAGACAAGTTACAAAAAGCATACCACATGAATATAAAATGGTCTTAGGCCATGTAAGACTAAAAAATTATTCAGAGTCGATTTAAGCCGTAGACCAGGAAGTTGTTGAATAATGAATCTGAAAACGCATCACACGGTATAGCTGACTTATATAAACCATGAAACCAAATTTCAGAAATCCTTATGATGTAGTTCCTGAGAAAGATGCGACGAACAATATTCATGGGACGGATGGACGGACTGACGGATGAACGGATGGATGGACGGACGGATGGGTGCATGGACAGACAGTGGTAAAACAGTATACCCCCACTTTTTTTTAAAGCGGGGGTATAACAATGGCAAACAATAATCGACAACAACCATTAAATAACAAGTTCCTGACTTGGGACAGGCACCTACAAAATATGCATATGGCGTGGTTAAACATGTGTGTGAGCGCTCAACTCCCCTAAGCGGTGACAGTTGTGCAACAGCACAATATAAGAACAAACTCAAATAATCAATTGGAAAGGCTTGACTCCTAATATCGACACAAAGCTCAAACGCAACAACAAACAATGCAAAAGATATAAGGTTCCGATTTTTGAGTACACACGGTCACTGAGGATCTGCTTACCCTTCCGGAGCACCTGAGGTCACCCCCAGTTTTTGTTGGGGGTTCGTGCTGTTTAGTCTTTAGTTTTCTATGTTGTTTTGTGTACTATTGTTTGTCTGTTTGTCTGTTTCTTTTTTAGCCATAGCGTTGTCAGTCTATTTTCGACTTGAGTTTGAATGTCCCTTTGGTATCCTTTGTCTCTCTTTTAGTTAAAATACAAATAACAACTGATAAATAAATATTGTCTTCCCAGACTAAAATGTCAATCAGTACAAATTAAACTGATCTTATGTAAAGGCGTTATAAACAGTATAAAAGAAAAGCATGACAATTTGTAGTGACAAATATATTTATCTTATGTTAGTTAATAAAATATGTTATATGTTAAAAGTACTATTACTGTAGCTTTATTGTCATTAAATTATACTTTTGTTTGATGTCATTCTTGTTTATATAATAAAGTCTTTCTGAAAAGAGTAAAATACATGTACATTATAGTTTACAAAAAGCAATGCAATTGAAAATCATTCAATACATGACTTTACCTATGCATGTTTTGCTGTCACTTGCTAGATGCAATCCCTTTTTGCAGTAACATTCATATGATCCATTTAGATTCCTACAATACTCACTACAGCCTCCATTAATGTCGAGACATTCATCTTTATCTATAAAAAGTAAGAACATATTTTTATCTTATGAAATGACTTTTTTCTTATACAACAAATCTACAAAATAATATATACAAAACGAGGAGTAACTGCAGTAAATGAGGGGTTATCCAAATCAAGGAATCCATGCTTAAGTCCGAAAAGAGTGCCTCAGAACCTTCACTGTCCTAAGCCGGGTGTATCTGTCTTGAAACAACTAATCCCCTCATCGGTTAGCAGCATTTTTTTTCAAATCTGTGTCTTTTTTTCTTTTCATTTTGGAAAGAAAAGATGGGATAGGGAAAGAAATATGACTAAAAAGAGAACATTGATATACAGATAAATTTAAAATGAAAATTGAAAAAAAAATATATAGCAACTAAAAAATGTATTAGTGTTTTAAAAACTATTGCAGAACATTAAAGTACTAATTCCAGGAAATGTAATGAGTTTCCTGACATAATTATTTAATTCTTAAGACGTCTTCAGCTATATTTCCCCAAAATAATTCTTGACGCTTAAGTTTCTTTTACTTTTCTGCTTCATATCTGCATCTTGTTGTTCTTACTGACACATATGGTTAACCTCATACATACAAGGTTCTCCGACAAACACGACGAGTTAAGTTTCCCCATTGTCTACTTTTTTCCAGCAGTAACATGCCATCTGTTCTAATGTACGGCATTTACATCTTCGCTTTATACGAACTTCATTAACAACGGTGTTCTACTGACAACATAAAATTGTTTCAATAGAGTTATAAGGAAAAATGATTGAAATCGACACTACATTACTTTTACGGTCACAATCACGAGTTGGTTGACTGATACGATATATCTGTGTCTCAACTCAGTACAGGCGTGTTCTCGATCTTAGATCTTCACCAACCAGAAAAATCGTCTGATATGTAACTTTATCGATTTTGACATTTTTCCTACTTGTGAATTTGCATGTCAGCAGATGCAAGCAAAGATGGATACGATTACCCCGTCTCGCTCCATTTGAAAATCATGTGATTTCCTCTAACTTTTTTGTTTTTAATCGCTAAACTACTGTTGTCTCAAATTCAACAAATGGGGGACTTCATGGTCGAGTACAGTATCAACACCGAGGTTGTGAGTTCGACTGCTATCTCAATTGACGAGGATTGCCAGTGTTCCTACCGGGAGTCTGTGGTTTTCTACGGGTACTTCGGCTTCCTCCACCAACAAAAAACTAGTCACCATGATACAGTCAAGAGTGCTGAAAGTGGCTTTAAATACCAACAATCAAGTAATCAATTTCCACAAGTTGATTTGTTTTTCTTCAAATATTTCTATCGGTTACATCCTTTTAAAATTTCTCTCTGATGAAGATTTAACAGATAACAGGCTTATATATAATGTAGGACGCCAGCTGACGCTCGTTACGTCTACACAAGAACCACCAGTGGTGCTTGAATCACATTTGAAACAACAAATCAGTTACGAGTTGTAGAGTATTAAAAATCTACTAAAATTTTACGGACGCCACCGCGAGTAGGTTGACCGTTATGGAATATCTGTTTCACAGATTACGACAGATATTTCAATTGAAGTAAAATACTCATCATAGATACCAGGGTCAAAATTTGTACGCCAGACGCGCGGTTTTCTTTTCGTAATAATTCTGTTGTCTTTTCCTTTAATTTGATATCACCAAATTATACTTATTACCAAGTTTGTACTTACACGAGTAACACAATGAAATAAGTACTTATAATACATTCTGTACCTGTACATGTTGCAATTTATGAAAAACGAGGGCAACACGGTGAGGTAAGTACTAATAACACATCCTGTACCTGTTCATGTTGCACCATCGCTGTTCATTGTGTATCCAGATTCACAAGAGCATGCGAATGATCCATGCGTATTGGTACAAAGCTGCTGGCAGTTATCTGTTCCTATCTGACATTCGTTGTTATCTATAAATACATAGATTAAGCATCAATGAAAGACAAACAAGTGTACAGCTTAAAGCAATAAGTTATTCAACACTACATACTATCATAGTACTTTCCCCCCGTCAATTTTCTAATAAATGAGGTGTCCGTAAGTGGAATGTTGCAAAGCAAAATTTCAGTCCAAATCAAACTTGACCTCAGTTCCCATTGGCAGTCCAAATTACCGGCCTTTCATCTCCTTTCGGCACATTGGCGCTGATTTCGTGGCCCATACATATTCACCAGTAAATTTAGTTTTAAGATAAAATTCAGCACGCAGAATTCTTTCAAAAATATCGTCTATAGTGTGAAGTTTCTGTTGTTGACTGAAATATTTACCTGAACATTGTGATCCTCCAAATCCTGGGGCACATACACAAGCGTTTGGAGATGCACAGGTTCCTCCGTTTGGACAAGAAGTAATCCCATTACATATGGCTGACTACACTATGTTAATTCATGCATATGATTTATAACACACAGATATGTGAGTTTTTCCCCTCCAAACTATATACAATGGTTTAAAGTTATAATGATGAATGTGTTGCATTTTGGTGAAAGAGGAAAATCTTAATAAACAACTTTTATCATGACAAACAATTGAAACCGAGAAATAATGACATGCTTTATATATATTTTGCATATAGTCGATCAGTCAGGCACAAAAAACATGAGAAAGGCATGGGAAAAAAAAGAACTACATACAGCTTTAATCCGCAACCATTGTGTTAAGTATGGAATGACAAAATCAATGAAGATTTAAAAAGAGTCAAAATATATATTTTTCGAAAATCCCTCCACATAATTTGTTTAAAATGTATATATTCGCTGCCTGTTAATGAAATGTATATATTAGGGAGTCGCCGAATTCGTTGCTGCTGTCGAATTCTTAATGTTTTTTTTAATGAGAGATTTATGAAAAACGAGGGCAACACGGTGAAGTAAGTACTAATAACACATCCTGTACCTGTACATGTTGCACCATCGCTGTTCATTATGTATCAAGATTCCCAAGAACATGTAAATGATCCATGCGTATTGGTACAATTCTGCTGGCAGTTATCTGTTCCTGTCTGACATTCGTTGATATCTATAAATACATAGATAAAGCATCAATGAAAGACAAACAAGTGTACAGCTTAAGGCAATAAGTTATTCAACACTACATACTATCATAGTACTTTCCCCCGTCAATTTTCTAATAAATGTGGGTTCCGTAAGTGGAATGTTGCAAGGCAAAATTTCAGTCCCAATCTTACTTGACCTCAGTTCCCATTGGCAGTCCAAATTACCGGCCTTTCATCTCCATTCGACAACTACCTTACAGAACCTAACTATTATTTTTTTTGGTAAATAGTTCTCGTTCTAAACATCCATGTAATGTTTGACACTGGACGTGCAGAAATCAATAATCAATCAACAATATATACTCCACAATTGATGCAAACATTGGCGCTAATTAAGTGGCTCATACATATTCACCAGTATATTTAGTTTTAGGATTAAATTCAGCACGCAGAGTTCTTTCAAAAATATCGTCTATAGTGTGAAGTTTCTGTTGCTGGCTGGAATATTTACCTGAGCATTGAGATCCTCCAAATCCTGGGGCACATACACAAGCGTTTGGAGATGCACATGTTCCTCCGTTTGGACAAGAAGTAATCCCATTACATATGGCTGTATGGAAAAACAATGACTACACTATGTTAATTCATGCATATGATTTATAATACACAGTTATATGAGTTTTTTCCCCCTCCAAACTATATATAAAGGTTGAAATTTCTGATGATGAATGTGTTGCATTTGGGTGAAAGAGGTGAAACAGAGAAATAACAATGCGTTATATATATTTTTGCATATAGTTGATCAGTCAGGTTTAAAACATGAGAAAGGCATGATTAAAAAAGAACTACTAACTTTTTTCCACGTCTTTTTATGTGTTCCACGGGCTGTGGTGTTAAAGCATCGAAAATACAGTTTTGCTGGGTGAGGCCGTCAAGACGTAACTTTTATTGTGTCGTGTTGACCCTCACTTCTAGTGGCAAATAAAGACGAATTGATTTCTACTGAAGAAAGAAAAACAAAATGCGGTAACGCCATCGTGTCATTTAGATTGAAATGTTAACGGCAATAGCATATCATTTTTTTTTATCAAAATTCTGTGGACGGATTTTCGGAAAAATGCAATTGAAAGTAAAGAAAGGACACTTTCATCGTCGCTGTTAACGTACATTTTATATTTGTTTCGCACCATATGAGAATTTGGACCATACGTGTATGGTCATGACCATATGCGTATATACTCAGATGGTTCGGGTAATTAGCATGATGAACGATGAAAAAGTGTCATAAATCAAAAGTTTCTAAAAGTATGATCATAATGAATTGGTCCTTACAAAACACAATATATAGACTTGGAAAATAACCACCAAAAATAACTAAATGATCTATCAATTGTTTATTTCACCGTGAGAAACTTAGGTCATTGAGAACTCTTTCTTTTTTTAAATTTTAATTTGGTGTTTGTTTTTAGTGAATTAAATATTTCAAATGGTTTTAGTTATTAAATGTGTTCTTGCTCCTATTCATAAGATCTTAGTACAATGACAGTAAGATCGTAGGAAAAGGAGAAAGAACATATCAATCAAATTAAAATAAGTAGAAATTAGAAGAAATTTTGGTTTAATAAAAATAAATTTAAACACGGGAAAAAATAAAAAAAATAAAAGGTCCATGTCTCAAACGCCTCTGGTTTCAGTTACGGACGAAAGAGATGACAGGATAAAGGCGCTTTTGATATTGTCCGGCCTGTTAATAACCAAACGAATTTATACTTTTATGGTCCGACCATAGGCGTATATAGTCGGACCATATGAGTATACGCATATGGTCAAAATACTCATATGACCCGGAACATATTTATAGACCATTTTCACGATTTGTTAACCCTCCCCTAGCTGGGACGGTTTTGTTACAACACAACATGTAAGAACAAACTGTAAAAATAAATTTGAAAAAAGACTTCGCTCATTAGTATCTGGTATACTACATACCTATTTAAAACAAAAAGTAAGTATTGTAATAAAAACAAAAACAAAAACATTATAGCAAAAAACAAATCTACCAAAATTTTGAAGAACGAAATCATCATCTTATAAAAAAAAATCAGTTAAAACCTTAGAGCGAGTTTTGATCGACGTCCACATATATCTATTGCTTTTATAAAGCAAAAGCGTAACTGACTGGTGAATGAAAATGAAAAAAATAAAAATTACTTTGCAGAGTGTCAGTTCTTGTAACTATGCAGATAAGAAATATTCAATTAATTAGCTCAACTGTACTCGGGGAGAGGATATGCCTTTCTAATAGATTTAGAGCCCCTTTAATTTGTTTACTTTGCCGCTGGCGTACACAAAAACTTGCGTTGCCACTTTGTCTAGTATATTTCGAATTCCATATTTAATTGCATTTTTAGTCTTTTCGATTTGACCGCTGTTAGTGTAATTGTAAATCATACATCTTCAGTTACGAAATACCAATCAAAAGATTTTAGAGTTTATAAAGATATAGTAAGTGACTTAAGCATGTAAGAGTGTACTATTTATTACCTTGTGAACAAGACGATCCAGTATAACCGGAGCAACAAAACGAATTATAGCAAGTACCGTAATAGGTTGTGCTGCTCGTCCTGTACAAATTGAATGTATTTGAATTATTAAGAAATAAGTACATAATGATCGAACTATTTTTCACTGACAAAGATGTGCAAAATACATAAGAAACTAAAAAAAGATGTAAGCTTACATATAATTTACGCGTGGTTTATCCGTGTAAAGAAGCTCGTGTCTTCATGTGCGACTCTTATTGGTTGTTCCTTATTAAGAAGAGATACACGTGGCAATAACTCAATTTTGCTAATTCTGTTTGAAAAGAAGGACGCTATTTTACATTGTGAAGCAAGTCTTTTTTTAATTGTGTTACACCATAACAGTATATCAGTACTGTGTACTGCTGTTCTTTTATTCTACGATTGAGAGATGTTGTATATATTAATTCGCCACCTAGACTGTGTAATAAGCAACATGGACTTAAATTGTGTCAGCTATGATGTAGTTTTCTTCCTTGGATTTAAGTGAACTTGGATATTTAGTATTTCTATTTTACACGTAAGTGGACTTCTTTTTCAACTGTATAATCAATTCCCTTTTATTTACATTATGGCTACCAGAAAGTCGAAGAGACAAACAAAAAGAAAGTTCTTTACGAACGTTCGTCTGTAGACGCTAACAAAGACCCATCCACGTGGAGTAAGAAAAATTTAATCCAGGAATTAAAGGGAATTGATATAGAAGTTCCTGTCGATCTTGGTAAAGCTGACAGCATTGAGGTTAATCTCCCAGGGAAACCCGACATCAGGTTAAATCGTACACTGACCATTCAGGAACTTATCAAAGCTTTCGGCAAATACAAAAGAATTATGTCAAAAGCCTATCAAGAAAGACGCGCCGAACTAGATGCCTACGAAGAAGATATTATTGACATTAGCAAATTTTACGGCTCAAAATATTGCGATTATTATTATCATAAAACGTTTAAAAAATGATGATCGTAGCGATAAGTACGGCCGACCTAAATATTTTCATGACGGTAAAGAGATTTGTAACAATTTTAATGGCAATAGAGGGTGTACCAAATGCACCTGTCCATTCTCACATGTCTGCACCAAATGTCGTTCGCCAGGACATTCACAGTCTCTGTGTGGGAAACGCCCTTCAGCAACTTTTTTTCATCCGATCAGACAGCTCTGCTGGACAAAGAAACTCCAAAGACATCTCGCAAAATGTGACTAACTAAATTTGATATGCAGGCTACTACCCCGGTCGATGTCAAACAACTAAAACGTGAACTAATGAGTCATCCCGACAAACACTTCGTTGATTTTTTATGTAATGGGTTACAATATGGCTTCGATACTATCATAATGGTTAAATATGACAACATTAAAACAATGGAATGTTGAAATAATTTAAGTGCTATGTCACAGAAAAAAGTAAAATATCAAAAATACCAAACTCCAAGGAAAATTCAAATGTTCATCATGCATTAAGCTACCAGTTTCAGATATGATTAACAAAGAATTATGTAACGGTTTCGTATATGGTCTGTTTGATCATTTACCTTTTGATGATTATCGAGTAAATCCGTTGGGAGTTGCTGAAGGTAAATATTCTTACAAAAAGCGACTTATTTTAGACTTGTCTGCAAAATGATACAAACGATTGTATCAACGACCTTATGGACAAATATTTATGCTCTATGTCGTATGTCAAGATACCTGACGCAATTCGTCTCATTACCAAATACGGAAAAGGGACAAAACTCTGTAAGTTGGACATTCAAAATGCACTTAAAATATGTCCAGTGTCACAGAGTCAATGGCCATTATTTTGTTTTAAATGAGAATTTTTTTTTATTATTTTTATCTGCGATTGTCATGTTCGGATGCCGTAGTAGCCCAAACATATTTGACAATATCTCCACAGCGATTTGTTTTATAGCAAAACATATTTAAAACATATTCTACATTTACTGGATGACGTCCTTACTATTGACCCTCCAGAGTTCGATGCTGATTGAACATTGGTGTTAATGACCATGCTATTTTATCGATTGAATGTTCCACTTGCGGCAAACAAAACCATGGGCCCTCTAACGTGCAATGAATATCTTGGTATTGTGTTAGATACAGAAAAATTAGAGGCTAGATTGCCTGCAAACAAAGTAGAAAGAATTTGCAAATTTATAATTTCAATAATTCAAAAGTCAACAGGTAGGAAAAGAGAATTACTTCAACTATTAGGCCGTTTGAACTTTGCATCACGTGTTATTGTGCCACGTAGATCTTTTGTTTCCTATCATATAAAATTATCCACTAAGGTTACAGAACTGCATTTCTATGTAAATTTGCGTAAGGAATGTTGAGTAGACTCAGAATTTTGGTACCGATTTCTACATAACTGGAACGGAATCAACATGTTTTACGTCTCTAATTACACTTCTAACTTCGATATGCAACTATAGACCGATGTTTCTTCTACAATTGGGTACGGAGGTTATTATCAAGGAAAATTGTTTTGCTCGAAGTGGCCAAAACAATTACCTTCTTTAAACGATAAATCGTTATCAATGTCTTTTCTCGAACTATATCCGATAGTAGAAGCTGCTCTTTTATGGGGTAAAGAATGGAAATGCAAGAAAATCCTCTTTCTTTGTGGCAATGAAGCTATAACATTATCAGGGGTCTGTTGTTCAACTTGTCATTAAATTAAACGAGTCGTTAAATTTTACTAATCACTGCGTTAAATTTAATCAGTTCATTATCATGTTGTTCAACTTGTCGTTAAATTTAACGAGTCGTTTAAAATTGTCAAAGTGTCGTTATATTTAATCGACCTCATTGAGGTTGATTAAATTTTAATCAGTTGATTAATCTCAATCTAAGATGGCTGTCAATGTATTGTTTCAACCACCTGTTGTAAGGAGAGAGCGACATTTTCGTGGTTTTGACCCTCTTGAAAGGGAATTTTCTGATGAGGAGCTTAGGCAGAAGTATAGATTTGGCAGAGAGACCATTGAGTACTTGTCTGATTTAATGAGAGGGGATCTGGAGCGTAGGACAAATAAGGAGACAGCCCTTTCAGTGGAACAACAGGTTATGATTGCCTTGAGGCTTTATGGCAGTGGATCTCACTTGCAAGTTGTTGGGGACACAATGGGATTTGACAAATCAACTGTGTCTCGGGTGATCGACCGTGTGACGGAGTTATTAGTTGCCAGGAAGGACGAGTTCATATCGTGGCTAGATAACCAGAGGAAGAACGTAATAAGGGCTGGGTTTTATGAAAAGGCTGGTTTTCCAAACGTGGTTGGATGCATTGATGGGACCCACATAAGGATTACTGGGCCTAGCATTGATGAACCAGCATTTGTTAACAGAAAGGGGTTCCACAGCATCAACGTACAAGCCATTTGTGACCATGAAGGTAATTTAAAACACTATATCCTACCTATTTTATGTTTACAACATGCATTGTGTGCGTCCTTTTTCTTGACATCTTCAATCGTCCTTGACCATATACAATATTTGCTGGTTTTCTGTTGAACTGGTTTTCAGCTAATTTGAAAATTGATGGAAAAAGATAGACAACTCAATCTTGTTATATACTTTTTATTGGATCCGTAAAATCAATGCGTTTACCGTTTCACTTTCAAATATGATGGATCGAGTGAACTGCTAAGTGTTTATGATCGTTTATGCTTAATACATAAATTTATTGATCAAAATAGTTTTAAAGATAAGCCCATCCACCCCTTATCTGCTTCAGGTAGAATTTGGTCAGGCTTAAACTTTGAAACGACAACGTAAATAGTGTGCCTCACGTAGTTTGCAGAAATTCTGGATCTACCTCTAAATGTTTCTGTGTCAGAGGAGACAGAAATCACCCCCCCCCCCAAAAAAAAAAAAACCACCACCAAACAAAATAATTGTCCAATCATCAAAATATTTCGCCCCCCCCCCCCCCCCCCATTCTTTCCGGTTGGGAAATAATGACCAATCCCCAAGCCAGTCATTGTTCAATACATTTAAAAAAAAAAGGGAGCATAACTTGTATGCAATGTATTGTTTATCTGAATTGTTACTATACATATTTTGTTTTCACCACATTGCAAATTCGGCCAATATTTTAATGACTGGAACTATAATGGACAAACTATGCATGCATAAAAAAGAAGATGTGGTATTATTGCTAATGAGACAACTCTCCACAAGAGATTAAATGACACAGAAATAAACAGCTATGGGTCACCATACTTTATTCACAATCACTGCCTTGCTTTGCATTGACAAATGAATTATCACGAAACCTACTTTTTCACCTTTTTTAATTATCATAATTTTGTTTAAAGGTAGATTCACCAACATCAGTGCTAGGTGGCCAGGATCAGCACATGATTCTCATGTTTTCAGAACCTCAGCCATAGGACAACATCTTGAGAATGGATATCAAGGAATTGGACAAGGTGTATTGTTAGGAGACAGTGGCTATCCCTGCAGACAGTTTTTGCTGACACCATACAGACAACCAGCTGCTGGTAGAGGTCAAGCAAGGTTTAACAGAAGACATTGCTCAGCAAGGTCAACAATAGAAAGGACATTTGGAATATGGAAGAAGCGCTTTCACATTCTAGGATCAGAGGTAAAATTAATTCTTTACAAATAATCATAGTAGTAATATGAATATTTGACATAGTGTTTGCCCTTATATTCTAAAAGTTATGTTGTTTAAGCTGTCTACTTAATCTTTCATTAGTACATTTTTTTCTATTTCTCTAAATTTTGGTTTAGGTATTCATAATTGTCCCCTTCTATGTCAGGGCCTTTTATAGCCTACTATACGGTATTTTTTTTATTGCTGACGGCCGTACGGTTGCCTATAATTGCTTACATGCACTTAATTCATTTTAACTTTGTAGGATATATACATTTTAGTTATAAAATTGACAATCATATCAAATCTCCTTATTTCTATATGTAAAAAAAACCCGAGAAAACTGAAAAAGCAGTTGTATATTAAAGGGCCGATAAAACTGACCTCAGAAACACGTAAAATGTCAAGCCTTGACAAAAACACAATTCATCACAAAGATCAAAACCCTAAAATTATACGGAGAACAGGGATCCAGTTGGAAAATTGGTAATGTTGGTTCAGTAAATTCAGGTAGTCCTGTTGGGGTAGATGCTCCAAGTTAGTCATTACTGTAACTATAATAAATTGTGAATGAAACAGTACATCATCAGTTGGACTTTTTGCTCAGCTTCATACCTGATTTTGTCCTTTTTTCATTAATAGTGGTTTCAAATATGCACATGTCACATTGTGTTTCTGTTACTGAAAGTAATTTTTTTCGTAATAGATTTATTTAATCTCAGCCTTATTCATGAACAACGTTGCATCATGCTACTTACAAATAGTATTTCTGTCACACTTTAAAATTAGAAATAAATGTTTTTGAATTGTATTCCAGATACGAATGAAACCAGATAAAGCTTGCCGTATCATCATTGCTTGTGGTGTTCTGCACAATATTGCCATCATAAGGAATGAACCTGACGTTGCAGAAGAACAATTAATTGACAATCAACCTCAGATGCCACCCTATAATGGTCCACAGGACGGAAAAGGCATACGGGACTATTTTGCTACCACTTTTTTTGCCTAATAAATTGCATGTTTTTATTTTTTCATATTTTGATACATTGTCATTCATTAAAAAAATGAGGAAATTTGAAAATAGCAACAAATCTTTATATGATCACTTTGACAATCTGTCGACAGAGGAAGTGTGCATTTTCGGCTTAAAAATTGGTATAGTAAATTGTGAGCAGTTAGTCGCCTATGAAATCAAAAACCCAGTAGCCATGCAACTGTACTTCAGTATAAAAATAAGAATATGTAGTATGATTGCCAATTGATTATATCAATTACCATATGGTAAAAAATAAATTATTTAAATGCCGAAAAAGGCGCAAGCCAGGTCCAACAGTGCAAGGGCTATATATAGCCAGTCAAGTTCATTTAAAACTTCCATCATCCTGATTGCCAATGAGACGATGGGTATCATGAAACAACAATTTACCCAAGACCAAATGTCCTCAATATCAGCAATTATAGGTTCCAGTGCAACAATTGTAAAACAATTCAGATAAGTTAAACCAATCGCCAGAATTATATAATAAATAAACCAAAAAAAAAAAAACAAATATGAAATACATTAACAACAGACAACCATTAATATTACAGGGGGGGGGGGGGGGGGGGGGGGGGCTAGGATGAAAAATTTTGTCTTGCATTTTTTGTTAAGTATAATATTTGTCCTGCCTTTTTTTTATTAGATTATCCTGACTTTTTTTACATAAATTGTCATCCTACCTTTTTTTTTGCCAAGTTGCTCATCCTGCCTTTTTTTTTACTCAAAACTCTTGTCCTGCCTTTTTTCAAATTTCATCCTAGCCAACCCCCCCCCCCCCCCCCAACCCCCCCCCCCCCCCCCCAACCCCATAAAATTAAATGGTAGCTCCCTTATGATTCTTTGAATGATAGAGGTGCATTGGGTGTTGCTAAATTGTAATTACTATTTTCTTTTACATAGGAGTGTGTACACAAAATGAATTTGGTGGCCTCATAATAATTTCTAAAATAAAAATCAACAATATAACAATGAATTTAATACGTTCAAAACATAGAGGCAAGTGCCTGGGAGAGTGTGACCGGTTCTGAATTGCCACCCACTAACTTCTGCAAAAGCTCAATTTGGAGTTCCAGTTTTTTCTTTTCTAGGTCCATTTGAATGTTCGTCTTCTCTTGTATCACTAATTTACCCTGCAGTGCACGATACTGTATGTCATGTATGTCCTGCACTGTTACCTTTTTTGAGGGTGTTCTCACTATCCTACAAATAAAAAAAAACATAATGATTTTTTTAAAAGATTGAATAATTTTACAACTCTTTTTATTGATCGATACCCAGGCATAATTCCACCAAATAGCTACTTAAACTCGGGGGCCACTTTCTATATACAAAGTGATTGAACGACGTGCCGTTGGAATATGTCATGTTTAGCGGTGGGGGCACAAGCCCCCTGGGCCCACCCACTAAATCTGCCTCTGAAATAACCACACGAAACACAACAAATATGAGAAAAGGTTACATTATTAACTACGCAATATAGGAAAAGGACTATACATTTTTAATATCTTAATTATACTAATAGGGTGGGGTCACACTAGAACCCCAGCGGCACCCCTATCAATCAAGTATTGATCCCCCCCCCCACCACCACCACCACCACCATCATCCATGCTTACTTAGATGCTGAAATGACTAAAACTTGAATACATTTAAAGTTATTATAAGGAAATATATCACTATAAATCACTATACCATATAGTTCTATCCTTAGCAGAATTTGTCAATACTTTTTAGGTTTAGGTTTGAAAGATTGTCACGTTTAGTGATATTAATGACTGCATTGTCATGAAGAACCGATAGCAAAATCTCACTTTGAGGTTCATTGTTGGAAATATAAACATGCATTGACAAATTTAATTTTATACATTGTATCAAGAAAAAAGTGTTAACCAAATAAACTAGCGGAACCTGTTTACACAACACATTTTTAAAGAGTTCTTGTTGCAGGCAAGGATTTGTATAGTAGCATATCTTACTATACAAATCCTTGTTGAAGGCCTTACTTTTAATTTCAGTGTCATTTTGGTCTCTTGTGGAGAGTTGTCTCATTGGCAATCATAACATATCTTCTTTTTTATATTTATTTTAAACTAACTTCCGCTTTTCTGTAATACTTGTTTGTACTGGAACAACTGTTTGTGTTAGGATAGGGTCATATCCAGTCAGCAGAGATGGACTCTGTTGACTGAGAGGGGTGGGCTGTCACTGATAAGTGATGCTGCCGACTCATAGAGATCCTGGCTGGCATCATCTTCTGGTAATGTGGCAGTGATAGTTGGTAGATCTGTAATAAATGAGAGAAAATTGACTTGTTGATACTGTGTTTGGGTATTTTATCTATCTGTTTATGGGGGATGGGGCAATGGAAACATATCATCATACATTAAATTCAGATACAATGTACTTTAAATTGCAAGTATAAAAAAATTGCACAAGACTAAATAAGACCCTATTTCAACCCTTTAAATATTATTATGGGTCTCAGCTATAAACTATGTGTTCCTGTCTAGGTTCAGACTGCAACAACAAATAGATAAACTTTATTCCGGATTTATGATAACCAGTCCGTATGTGTTTTAGTATTATAAATCATGACTAGTTTTCGCTCCAAATTATCTATTGTGGTTCATGTTAATCTAACAACAGATACCAGTTTGAAGACGACTTGGCGGGCACCTGCCACTTGTGAAAAAATGTTGAAAATAACACTTTAAAACCGTTATCAGTTTAAACAAATGCAATCTTGCAATAGTAAAACAAGAGCAGAACCTTCAAACCAACAAGAAACACGTTGGCAATCATTTAAGTAATAGAAAATTGGCCAAAATAAATTGTTTTCAGTCACGTGATATCAGTTGGGAATTCCCCTTCTTGTTGTGACGGCGGAGCAGACGAAACTTTTACTAAAATTGAATAAGGGAAACTATGTATCCCGGGATTAAAAAGGCTACGAATATGTGTGTTATTTTCATCGAATTTCATTAAAAATTAACAATAACAATAAAAAAACACCTTCAAAACAAAATTTTGCCAAAAATTGTTTGTTTATGAAAATTAAAAACATTTAGTTGGTTGAAACTGTTAAAGTTCACTTTTTACAAGGTGCAATAAAAAGGGTAGAGCCTTGAGAAGTTCTAATTAAGGGAAAAACACATTTAGGGATATATATTCTTATGTGCTAAATATTATTTACATACTTGTCTGGAATGACTCTGTTTCAAGTCCACCCTGAATCCCTCTGAAGCTGGTGGTGTCCGTCATCAGGTGGATAACCCTCTCCACTGCTGTGCTGGGTTGCTTTGGAGCTGGTCCTCCCCCAGTTTTGAATATTTCATTCCTGTGATTTGAATAAACGGCCTTGGCCACTCTTGTGGTGTTCCTCCATTTGTTTCGTACTTCTGTTGAAGTACGAAGAGCAACTCCAAGAGAATTTACCTTGATTGAATCTCATCCCAAATGTCTTTTACTGTGTTTGTTAATTTTCCATTTATGATGTTGGAGTTTTTTTCCACAAGCTGTTGTATCAAGTCTTCTTCTGCCACAGTAAAATTGGTCTTCTTTAGCCTTTTCAGTTTGCTTGGGGTTTGTTCAACTGGTTCAGCCATTTTTTTACAGACAGGAAGCTCATAAACAATGAATGATAGGTAGGTTTTATTTAATCACTTGATTAATCAGTTGATTAAATTTTAACGCATTGATTAATCAGTTGATTTAATTTTAATTCATTGATTATTTAATCAACGCGTTAAATATTGTTGAACAACAGAAAATAAACGACTCGTTATGTAACGACTCGTTTAAAAATTTAACGACTCGTTAAATTTAATCAATCGTTAAAATAACGACAAGATGAACAACAGAGCCCAGATATGCACAAGCTAGTTAAAGGGTCACACTTATCGGTATTCATGACGGTAAATTCTCCTCATCTCAAAAAAGCAATAAAAAAAAACAAAAAAAAACGCAACTATGCAAGTTGTAAAAAAGGATCAAAATGAATCGAAATATTGACGCTTATGCGACAGTTAACGTGGTGCTCATATGTAAAAAAACTTCCAGGATACTGCAAAACATATTGATAGTCGTAAAAATAACATTAATGACGCTTTATCTCTTTAGCAGATTGAAAAATTCCACAGTCTCGCTTCACATGCAGTGAAGCTTCCACACAACTGCCCGAGTGTCTACGAAGTAATGTGGTGTTGAATGAAACAGTCGAACAATTCTGGACACATGCTGTTGCTAAGATCTTTGTATAATATAGGTTTTTCTCACTTTGTTAGATTTTTGTTGCTGAATGGTATTATATATAATTCACATGATCTTCCTCTTATATCAGAATATCAGAAAACGTTCTCATTTACTTTGTAGCGCACTGTTTTAAAGTTTTGAAACTCAAACACACTACTATAAAACTTTATGTGGTATTAGACATGCTTATTTGAAGTCAGGATATCATAATCCTCTAGAAACGCCTCTAGGCGAATTTTTACCACGACTCACTCTGATTTTAAAATCTGTTAAACGCATACAAGGTTCACAAACTAGAACTAGGTTGCCAATTACTTTTCCAATTTACAGAAAAATTGCCTCAGACCGAGAAGGGGCGTGTATAATAAGTATATTGATTGTTTAAAAGAAAAAACTTGCATAGTTGCGTACAGGTAAAAAGGGAAGCTTTAACTAGACAATTTTTTCTAGAGAAATTTAAGAATATTTTAGAACTTTGCGGTTATGACCCAAACTTGTATAATGGTCATTCTTTCAGATCGGGTGCCGCAACTAATGCGGGAAAAGCACTCGTAGAAGATCATATGATCATAGTACTTGGTCGATGGAAATCGGATAGTTATTGTAGATATATCAAGATTTCTTCAACTTTAATTTTGTATATTAATACGCTTATCGATAGTTTTAGTGGTTTATTCTACTTGTCTTTGAAACATGTTATATTATCGTTGATATTTTGAAGGCCAAACCACCTCACACCTCAAACCATCTTTGGGGGCACTCATCTGATTCTCATCTGAGTTTTTAGACATTAATGAAATTTTATTGTCTGGATCTATAAACCTAACTTTCCCCTAAGAATTCAGTTGTGTCTCACCACCACCGTCAGATGAACTCGTTCGGCACCCATGCTGCGCTGTCTAAAGCGATAGGGAGCCATGTTTTGCTTCCTCGGATCATGCTGTGTTCCTTCGATTTGACGGGTGTGTCATTGCCTTGGAAGTTTGCTCCTCATGAATTCTAATAAATTTTTTAGGCACGGACCGGTCAAAATTTATACATAGCTGAGATGACTCCCAAGGACCAAAAATAATTGTATAATCATAAACATATGTATATATATATTGAATAATATTCTTGTCAGCAGTAATGTCCACCAAGGTAAGATTTTAAATATCGAAAAATATTGGATACGCGCTTTCGTGAATTTTGTTTTTCGTTTACTCGTTAAGTATTGTCAACCTTCGAATGTTTGGATAAGTCATTTTCCATACTTATACAAGAAATATAAAAATTAAAACATTAACATGAGAAAATATCCTATTATAAGAACCTCGTATATAGTAAAAGATGAGTGTAAAATTTACACAAAGAAGTATGACCGATTTCCCTTTTATTTGTTTCACTGTTTAAAAACAATTGAAGCAATTTTGCATGTTTTCATTGCAACAAAATGTCATCAATTCTAACTCTTTTGAGGGACAGTACACCAAGTGTGATGTTTTGTGAATAGGTTTTCATTTCTTCCTTGTTTCTTTTGTGTCGCTTTTGTTAACTCATTGCAGCCACACTCTCTTTTTTTCAATAAAAATATTGGTAGTCTTTTGATAGAGTACTGTCCTCGTTTTCGAGGTGTTGATCCCCACTTGAGTGACCAGACTCAAGCTAGCGACCAATTCTAGCGACCAATCAAGCTAGCGACCAATTCTAGGGACCACTAAAGAACACAATGAGAATCAACTTGTCTAAGAATCATTATGTGGTATATGAGAAAACCACAAAACCACATTATGAAACAACGTTCTGTTAAAAAGAAAATATATCTACCAGTGCGGTATACATATTGTTTTTAACGTTTAAATGACCAGAAATGTCCATCAAATTAAGGGAGAAGGGACACTACAATACGAATGACGTCTGTAGCTGAATGCACTAACTAGTTTGGTTGCTAAATGTCTGCATCAATATCAATGAGTAAAATATAACGTGCCAGAAAATCGTAAAAGCCAAAACAATTTAATACAATAGAAAAACAAAGGATATGGGGTATCCCTCCATGACATAAAATCAGTAAATGCACAGCGAAAAACACACAAAAAGCTAAGGAACATTCTTTGTTAACGAACTATTTTTATTCCCCTACATTCGAACACATACTATATGTTATCATATATGTATTTATATGAATAAAGGTGCGCCCCTCTCCGGAGTTTATTCTATCGGGAAAGGGACTAGTTGGGAAATAAAGTAATCAATATTTTGACGTCTTCTTTACGTTTTCTCTGTTTTCCAAACTCTAAACCGAGATCGCAAAGATAAATCAATTATTGTAAACAAAATATTAAAAACGGAGCGTATATCCGTCAAGCACATAATGGCTATACAATAGTACTTTGCGGTTTAGAAATCAGAATAAAAAGCCAAAGAGTTTTAAGAATTTTAATAATAAAAAAAAAACAAGAGTGTTTGTTTATGATGATTTGCTCGCACAATCGTTTTCAATTTTCAGTGAACCGTAAATAATTTAAAAAGTACATATTTTAATGAATATGTGTACCTAGTTTCAAGTTGATCTGACTACAACGTCATCTTAGACTAGATTCAACACTAACGTCATTCTAATGCAGTATGAATGGACGGACAAACGGACAAATGAATTAACGAACGAACACAAAAACCAGATAATATTATGGGCTTTACTGTCGTAGGCGGAGCATAGAATAACTATCTAATGTGAGTTCACTTAAACTTGTTCCTTTGTACAATGTATCAGCTTTCAAATAAACGAAATAAGAAAAATATTATGTGCGAAAGAATAACTATATACTGGCTTTCCATACACTCGGCATCCTCGAATATCCTTTATTTTCTAGAAAAGGAACTTTTAATGTCTATTCCCTATACTGAAAATGAAAACATACAAAATAACAAACTGTAAGAGTACATTTCATGCCCACAAACAATATTTTGAATTGAAAGTATACGTGCACTATTTTGTATGGCATGCATCCTTACTTAAAAGAAATGTAAAGATTTTTTTGTTTAAAAAAAAACCGTACACTTTGAATGTCAATTTTGAACCCCTTCAATTCCCAGAAGGTCCTAACCCCCAAAAAATGTACGGTGGAAACGTAAAAAAAAAATAATACCAACTTTGAACCTCTTCAATTCCCAGAAGGTCCTGACCCCCAAAAAATCATTTCAGTGGGTCCTGCTCTGATTCATTACCTTTCATTTGAGCTATGTCCGGTGTCGAACTTTGCCGTACGGAGCTGGCGAGACTTGCCGAAAGAATGTACGGTGGAAACGTAAAAAAAAAATAATACCAACTTTGAACCCTTTCAATCCCCAGAAGGTCCTAACCCCCAAAAAATCATTTCAGTGGGTCCTGCTCTGATTCATTACCTTTCATTTGAGCTATGTCCGGTGTCGAACTTTGCCGTACGGAGCTGGCGAGACTTGCCGAAAGAATGTACGGTGGAAACGTAAAAAAAAAAATAATACCAACTTTGAACCCTTTCAATCCCAAGAAAGTCCTAACCCCCAAAAAATCATTTCAGTAGGTCCTGCTCTGATTCATTACCTTTCATTTGAGCTATGTCCGGTGTCGAACTTTGCCGTACGGAGCTGGCGAGACTTGCCGAAAGAATGTACGGTGGAAACGTAAAAAAAAAAATAATACCAACTTTGAACCCTTTCAATCCCAAGAAAGTCCTAACCCCCAAAAAATCATTTCAGTAGGTCCTGCTCTGATTCATTACCTTTCATTTGAGCTATATCCGGTGTCGAACTTTGCCGTACGGAGCTGGTGAGACTTGCCGAAAGAATGTACGGTGGAAACGTAAAAAAAAATAATACCAACTTTGAACCCCTTCAATTCCCAGAAGGTCCTAACCCCCAAAAAATCATTTCAGTGGGTCCTGCTCTGATTCATTACCTTTCATTTGAGCTATGTCCGGTGTCGAACTTTGCCGTACGGAGCTGGCGAGACTTGCCGAAAGAATGTACGGTGGAAACGTAAAAAAAAAATAATACCAACTTTGAACCCCTTCAATTCCCAGAAGGTCCTAACCCCCAAAAAATCATTTTAGTGGGTCCTGCTCTGATTCATTACCTTTCATTTGAGCTATGTCCGGTGTCGAACTTTGCCGTACGGAGCTGGCGAGTCTTGCCGAAAGAATGTACGGTGGAAACGTAAAAAAAAAAAATAATACCAACTTTGAACCCTTTCAATCCCCAGAAAGTCCGAACCCCCAAAAAATCATTTCAGTAGGTCCTGCTCTGATTCATTACCTTTCATTTGAGCTATGTCCGGTGTCGAACTTTGCCGTACGGAGCTGGCGAGACTTGCCGAAAGAATGTACGGTGGAAACGTAAAAAAAAAATAATACCAACTTTGAACCCCTTCAATTCCCAGAAGGTCCTAACCCCCAAAAAATCATTTCAGTGGGTCCTGCTCTGATTCATTACCTTTCATTTGAGCTATGTCCGGTGTCGAACTTTGCCGTACGGAGCTGGCGAGACTTGCCGAAAGAATGTACGGTGGAAACGTAAAAAAAACAATAATACCAACTTTGAACCCCTTCAATTCCCAGAAGGTCCTAACCCCCAAAAAATCATTTCAGTGGGTCCTGCTTTGATTCATTACCTTTCATTTGAGCTATGTCCGGTGTCGATTTTTGCCGTATGGAGCTGGCGAGACTTGACGAAAGAATGTACGGTGGACACGTAATAAAAGATTAATACCAACTTTGAACCCCTTCAATTCCAAGAAGGTCCTAACCCCCAAAATGCATTTTAAGAGGCTCTGGTCGGATAAAAATCAATTGATAGAAATCGTTTGTATGTTTTTTGGTAGATTTTAAGTCCCTGTCTATGATTTTTTCAAGAGTATCAGTAGATAAAATTCATTTCGCCTTGTTATTTTGTCGCCATCCTGAGGTGTTTTTTTTTGTCTTAAATGTACAGTGTACATTATATGAATAACTTAATTAGAAAAAGCCAAATGAAATTTTTAAACGGCACTGAATGAAAAAAAAATCGTAAGCTTAAAATTATTTATTCAGCAACACTACAGATGTCACATGTCAAGCAGGATCTTCCTACCTTGCCACAGAACCAATATATTTAGAGTCAGCTCATCCATGTAGACGGTTTCGATAATTTTACAACCCAATTCGCGATTTTTTACATGTTGACATGATTTAGTGTGAATCAATATTTCTATTGATACATGTATGTACTATCTAAGGCCATCCTGTTTTTTCCTAAAACTTTCATAACACAAATCTATTTTATTAAAGAAACATGTAATTTTAAGGGATATAAAAGATGACTTTATCAGGGTACGAAGGTTCGATTCCTTCCCTAGGCTTTAACCTTATTAGCTGGTCGCAAAGAGGACATATTGCCTAGTGGCCTCGCCCTGCTAAAGTTTTCTTTTTTCAGATTATAGTAATATTAATGTATAAACAAAATATGCTAAGTGTTTCATTTAATGCGGGGAGGGTGGAGGGGGGGGGGGGGTGCAAATTAACACAACTACTGGTAAATTTTCTCAATTTACCAGCAAAGCACAAGCTGTGAACAGAATACAAGTCATTATTTAACATCCCAGGTTCATGTATCAACCTGCAATTTACACATTGCATATTTCTTAATGGTCTAAATCAAATAAGTGAAAACAGAGTGTTATACTCTACACATCTGACATTCAAAAAGAACGAATTTCACTGTTCAGTACAAAAAAGATGTACTTTAAATGCAGTTCATTTCAAAACTTTATAGCAAGATATTTTTCTAATTAAACAGACAACAAATCAATAAAAAAAAATAAAAGAAAAATAATACCATACATCTTTTTTTTCCAATTTGAATACTTAGAATTCCAAGAATATGAATCTTCAACCAGTCCTTAGAACGCAGAAATCGTTTTCTGTTAAAAAAAGTTCAAGATTACACATTGGAGGATATATACTCTGTTATACTTACAGACATTAAATTGTTCTCAGCACAAGGATTAATTGATTGAGGGTTGTTTTTATTTTCATCTAGTGACAAACAGTTCGTGCAGCTTTAAAGCGAATTAGTACAACCGATAAAATGTGACATGGCTTTAAAGCAGTTTGTATGAAAACTTTAAATGTGTAAATATGCATTTTTGTCAATGAGATGAACAACCTGTAAAATATAATTGATTTGTATTATATCTTGAAAACCACCGAAAAAAACCAAATGTAACCGTCATTAGAATAATTATTTAATCCTGGTTCAACTTGCTGGAATCCGACATTTATTTTTACTTTCTGATGGCATAATGAAATTACCTGCGAATACGATCATAGATCATCATACACGGGGCGCAAAATTTACTTGCGAGAGCTTCCATCTCATTGGATAAAACGGTAACGTGATCAATTTCTAATATTAATTTAGTTCAAGCTGTCAATCATTTTATTTATATTACGAATGATATATACCACGTGTCTAACTCATTAAAATATTTAAACAAACTCATCATTCGGATTCGTTTGTTTAAATATGTTTAGTCGTAAGAACCATGTTATATATATTACATGTACGGGAGTTTCAAGTATATAATGATTTGCATTTCATAAGTCTCTCAGCTTTCCCGAAATATTCTTCATTTTCTAAACTTTTATATATATAATGTTTCATACACTTTATACTGTAAATTCCATCCAGACCCTCAGAGCAGTTGCTGGGCGCTTCTGAGAGGTCCGCGTTTGAACAATATATATTACTGCGTCTCAGTTCAATGTTTCCCGCCAAAAGAAATGAAAACTTAAAAGGAGTTGCTACAATGTATTAAATTCGATGCGTTTTCCATACTATGATAACTGTTTGGAATGGACACTTTGTGAAGTTTTTTTATGCGTGGTTCTGATGGATGTTCAATTTATATGGATATTTCTAATGTAGTCGTATGAAAAGAACAACGTGGTAAGTTTATCTTTTTATCATACTTTATTCCTTGTCTGCAATAAGCTAGTTTATATTTTGTTGTTTATATGTCCGTTCGTCTATTCGCTTAGCAGTCCGTTACACTTTGTCTTACTTTTATATTTGCCCATGCTTTTGTCTCAAAATGGTAATGAATGTTCCTGTTGCTATCTTGTACCAGGCATTAAGCTTAAATCCCTTTTTCTACAACGGTTTTTAATGCAAGAACGTGTTGACTAATGTGAAAAGCTGACAGTATCACTTTTAACAAGATTTCTAAAGCCAAATATCGGTTACAGACTAGGTGATGCATTGTTGCGCCCAATTTTTAAAACATATCTCTAATGGTATATTTAAAAGATAAATTTACTTCTTTTCATTGCAATCAATAAACATATAATAAACCAAAAGGTGAAATATTCACTAAATTATAAGTAAAAAATAGAAATATAATTAAACATTAATTCTTCAACTTTCCTTCTTTTATTGTCAAAATGTATGTTGCTTAATGTTTTTTACACCGTACAAGTATGTTAATTTTTGTTTTACGCGTGTGTAGGCACAATCAATAGTTGCGAACAAATTGACCGCAATAAAAGTTCAGAACGTTCCATATCAGATCAGGGGCAGGTTGTCTGATGTATCTGAAAATTTCAGGAAATATGTAGGGAATTTTTGCAGATTTAGGAAATGATCTTGAATAATATAAAAGATAGAGATAACTGTAAACAGCAAAAGTGTTAAGCAATGTAAGCTCTACAAATAAGTCAACATGATCAAAATTTCCAATTGAACTCTTTAGGAGTTATTTTAAAAAAGAAGATGTTGCTCTTTAAAGTAAATTTTACAATTTTACTCAACTTTTCGTTAATTATGTGGTATCTTTTACAAAAATCTTCTCATCTGAAACTACTGAGACAAATTTAACCAAACTTGGCCACAAGCATCGTTCTGGTATCTTTTTTAAAAAATGTGTCCGATGACCCCACCTGCCAACCAAGATGGCCGACATGGCTAGTATAGGGGTAAAATGCAATTTGTGGCTTATATAAACCAAAGCATTTACAGCAATTTGACAAGTGACAAAATTCTTCATTAGGTCAATATCTATTTGTCCTGAAATTTTCAGACAAATCAAGCAATCCGTTGTTGGGTTTCTACCCCTGAATTGGTAATTTTAAGAAAATTTTCAATTTTTTTGTTATCTTCAATATTATTATAGATAGAGAAAAACTGTAAACAGCAATAATGTACAGCAAAGTAAGAGCTACAAATAAGTCAACTTGACCAAAATAAACATTTGACCCGTTAAGTAGAAATTGCCCTTTACAGTCAATTTTTAACAATTTTCGTAAATTTTGTAAATTTTTGTTACTTTTTACAAAATATTTTCCTCTGAAAATACTGAGCCAAGTTCATTATAGATAGATATAATTGTAAACAGCAATGATGTTCAGTAAAGTAAGATCTACAAACACATCACCATCACAAAAACACAATTTTGTCATGAATTCTATTCTTACATATTGGAATTATTGTCTATAATGTATGTCCTTTGTTTAATACGCACATAGATTAAGGTGAGCGACACAGGCTATTTAGAGCCTCTAGTTGATAATGCTTTTTTTTCCTTCACAAGATTCTTCCTGGCAAAATTAATCGGAACCTTTCTCATCGTATCCAAATTATTAAGGCAACATGATTAATAATTATTGATTGATATGGCTAATCCGAAAACTGTAAACGGAAATGTCGGTAAACACGCACGGCACTAACCTCGTGATCGTATATTGAAGAATGCGTTGTGTATATTAAGATGAAAAAGATGTCTATACCAATGAACGATTTAATGACGGATCCGGAGTGACAATAACATTCACACATAGATGCCATGACGTTTCATACAGACAGCGCTGATGCACAAAAGTACATGTATAATTTCAACAGTACTATGATAGTCTCTACTTGTCTTGGATCACAAGGGAGCTATTAAACCATGAGTTCCAAATGGCGAAGTTGAAATCAGCCCTTTGTAAATAAGTTCCTTATGTTGTAACTATAATCCCGTTCCCTTTTCACAAATTTGACCTACCGAATTAGACAATTTCCCGGGTTTGTAATAACATAAGCAACACGACGGGTGCTATATGTGAAGCAGGATCTGCCTACTTCCAAAACCCCTGAGATCACCCCAGTTTTTGGTGTTGTTCTTGTTGCTTTGTTTTTAGTTTTCTATGCTGTGTCTTGTGTACTATTATTTGTCTTTTGTCTTTTCTTTTTTAGCCATTGCGTTGTCAATATAAAAAAGAAGATGTGGTATGAGTGCCAATGAGACAAATCTCCACAAGAGACCAAATGACACAGTAATAAACAACAATAAGTTACCGTGTATGGCCTTCAACAATGAGCAAAGCCCACACCGCATAGTGAGCTATAAGAGGCCTCGAAATGACAATGTGAAAAAATTCAATAGTTATCAAAGGTACCAGGCTTATGATTTAATGCGCCAGGCGCGCGTTTCGTCTACATAAGACTAATCAGTGACGCTCAGATCAAAATATTTAGAAAGCCAAACAAATTAAAAGTCGAAGAGCATAGAGGCGCATCAAGGAGCATTGAGCATCGTTTTCAAACGAGAAAACTAACGTCCTAATTATGTAAAAAAAATGAACAAAAAACAAATATGTGTAACATATCAACAAACGACAACCACTGAATTACAGGCTCCTGACTTGGGACAGGCAGATACAGAATGTGGCGGGATAAAACATGTT